TATATATATATATACTGTATATCCTTGCAAGCAGACCTCAAAAACCTACATTATTATCTGTAAAACATTATCAATCATATTAATTTATTTCCCAAATAATCCATTTAATTTATTTGAAGATCAAATCTGGGGTATATTTCCTGCCATATTTACTGTATATGAGCCTACCTACAGCAAGGCAAAGAGCTTTAAAGTAAAGGTTGCATTGCATGTTTTAAAAAGGTCGTTTAAAATAGAACCAAAATTACAATAATGTTTACTCACTGCCCCCATTCCTAAACAAATCCCTGTACCAGACCATGAATTCCAACATCAAAGCTTTCCATTAGATTATTAGATTATATGTGAATTTAACAAATTTTATGTATGTTATTTACCTGTAAAAGACATCCAAAAGAGCCTCCACCATCTTCAATGTGATGTCAGCTGTCCCGGCAGAGTCAGACCTCAAGTGACACTCTATAGCAGGGGTAGTGAATTAAAATTCAAGGAATTTGGTGAATACAATTTTCTTAGAGCCGAGGTCTGAATCACAGTCCGGATAGAACAGTCACCCATTTTGTGTCCATACCACATTCCGCCATTTAGGCAACATGCACACCAGCAGCTGCACTGCAACGCACGGCCCCTATGTGGCAGCATTTGGAGGTGACAGCTTCTCTATATGTGGACATCAGGGTCTATTAGACCACTGATGTCTTTCCTGCCCTCCAATACAGATCATCCAGCCAAGGAATGTGCTTGATACTCGGCTCTTCATCTGGCTTCAGCCAGCAAAGAGCACTTCGTGATTCAGTGATCACAGCGGCAATAGACGTTCCCTGGTCTACTCCCACTATCCATCCTGACACTGTGTGCCGTGGTCCCAGCCCCCCTCAGAGAAGCAGGGGACCAAAAAACCACTGTGGGGGGTGGTGCAGGGAGAGGGTGGCACAACAGCAGACTTGTACAATTGATGCCTGTACAGCCTCCAAGATCACTTGTAGTTGTAGCATTCAGCTCTGTCTGGCAACAATGGTTGCTAGGAAGCCAGCAGTCCTAGCCACTAATGACTGAAGTGGAGGGTGCTGGGTTATGGCTGGCAGTGGAAACGCCACCACCTGCCATAACCCAGTGCAGGTCGGCGATCGCTACTCAGTCCGTGTCCAGACCTCAGTCTGCCATTTTCTGATGGCAGCTCTATAGTATTTCCCTTTTCTCCTCCCCCTAGCAGTTACAGAATGTGTAGGGAGGTGATGAGGGGGGTGGAGGAGCTGGGTTAGTACGGGCAGTAATTACAAACTCCCAAAAGAGGAGAGGGCTATGGCATGCAAGAATGGAGGTGGCTGTGTTAGGGAATTGACTCTCCTGAAGAAGTCATATTTTCTAGCAGGTTCAAAGGAACATTGCAAAGTATTAACAAAATAATTTAGGGCAATGAAAAACACTACAAGCAAATATTTTAAAATGCTGGATTTGTCTGTGCTTTTACCTGCAATTTTGAAGTTGGCTTTCTTTTAACACATAAGCATTAAAAATACAGACCTCAGATCACCCAGTAAATGGCATTCTCATAGTTATTAACTACAGAAATCTAAAGGTACAGATAGACATGAAAGTACAACATAATGGCAAAGTGGTTGGCACTGTTGGCTTGGAACGCTTGGTGTTGGGTTTCATTCCCACTGTAGATACTAGTGCAGAAAATAATTGAAACCAGTTACCTGATCTGTATTGTATCATGTCTATAAGGGTTAGCTATCAGTGGAAATTGTAATTGGACAGCTTAATAAACTTTGTCTGATTATCATTATCTTTGTCTGAATCAGTATACTTCTGCATGCCTTTCCCCTCTACACTTGGCAAAGCCAAACTTGTATGTTAATAGACCTGCACATTGCAACCTCCATGTCTAACCACTCTCAAAGTGTCATTATAATGCAGATTGTCATTATTTTTCAGGATAAATGGGAGAGCCTCATCTCAGATAAGAAACCAGTAGAGCTGTTCCAACATGTCAGCCTCATGACGCTGGACACCATCATGAAATGTGCCTTCAGTTGCCATAGCAATTGCCAGAATGACAGGTCAGTAGCAAGATACTTAGCGTAAGGGAAAATGTTTGTCTTGTTTTTGGCAACAACTGTAAATTTTTCTCTTATCAATTTGTTCACATTGCTTGAAAAATAACAGGTGGAACCCCCATTTCTTTAATATATGGAGTCCTCACTGGAACCAGTACACTGCACCATGCTTATATGGATCATAGGCAGGCAGAACTTGTCTAGTCTACAAAAAGCAGAAGTCACTCTCTTTGCAACTGTTTTCACTCTGCTCCTGCTGCTACTCACTTGCCATATCTCTTGCAAGGCATATTTTGTTTACGATCTTACCTCCTGAATTTTTCAACGACACCTATGTGAATCTTTTGTTTCAGCTATTTGTATTTGTTCTTGCTCCATGTTGGAGCTATGTAATTCTTTTGTAAAACTTTCACTTTTGATTATGGTGGAATGGGGTTGGCTGTTGCTTTAAAGTCAAAAAGATATCTTAAAAACCTTTGGACTTTAAAGTGACAATAAACTCAGGGGTTAAACCTTAAAAATGCATTCAAGCACCCTGACACTTTGTATTAAATTAGGGATCACTTTTCATATTCCCCTTGTGTCTATCATCTTGTTCATCTTGGTTTAATCTTCACAGAAAGGCATAAATCAATAATTTTATGTAAAGCAGAAATACACACATATATACAGCATGTGTGTGTATATCTATCTATCTATCTATCTATCTATCTATCTATCTATCTATCTATCTATCTATCTATCTATCTATCTAAATAATATATCTATCTATCTATCTATCTATCTATCTATCTATCTATCTAAATAATAATAATTATTATTTTACCATGTATTTGTGCAATGTATTGCATCTACTGCATTCACCATTCGTTTTTGCTCTTCTTTTCAGTGAAAGTGTCTACATCAAGGCAGTATACGATCTCTCCTACCTGATAAACTACAGATTCACCTGCCTACCCTATCACAATGATTTAGTTTTCCACTTAAGTCACCATGGATTCCGCTACAGAAGAGCTCTGAAGACTGCGCACCAGCACACAGGTCAGCCTGCTGTCTGTATACATCTGGCATGTCCTTGTATTGCATCTTCGGCCAGTGTAGGAAACTGAATGAGGTCCCACACAGATCTGCAGATCTAATCTTCCTTAAAGTGAACCTGTCCTCAGATCATGCAGATAATGTATTTACATATTTTGAACAATAAGTAAAAGTACTTTAAAACAAGCCCTCATTCATCTCTGTGTCTAAAGGCATTGTGAATAAATTAACTTTCAAAGTTCACAACACAGACATTGAAATCTTAGCTCTTTGCCTATTACTTTCTAATTCCTTAGAATACTGACAAAGAGAGGTGTATCTGCTATAAAATGCACCTATGGCAACGTCACTGGCTGCCAGGAGCTGGGCAAGATGCTCTGGCCAGCGCACTGCAGAGCTCCTGGCAACCAGTGACATCACTGGTTGCCAGGAGCTGGGCAGGACCGTCTAGCAGATGACCCACGTATTGGCGCACAGGGCATGTGCCCTATGTGCCATGGCCTGGATACACCACTGCTGGCAAGTTGCCAGTTCTCTATTGTGAAAAACCAGCAGATATTTCTAAGCTGTTAGAAACCGACTGATACTTTAAAGTCTTTGTTATGATCTTTGAGGATTAATATCTTTCCATTAAAAGCAATTAGAGAGACCAGGAATTATGTATTTTAAAGCAGTTTTGTTGTGTTAAGAATATGTAAATATTTCATGTCCATAGTTCCTTGTGTTGGGGTCTACTGCCACTTTATCCATATTGAACTGGTAAGTGATCCTTTGGATCCCTTTTACCAGTTCACTATGAAGAGTCAAGACTGGGGTGGATTTTGCTTCTTCAAGGTAGTTTTAAATAACATTTTCAGATATACTGAGCAAGTAATAGATAATTCATACCCAATGTGGTATATCTAACGCAGAGCTGAGTTTTTGTCATTAACCCCCCACCCCCCAAAAAATGTGTCCAGTTGCCTACTTTTATTTTATCATGAAAGTTCACACAGAGCAATACGTTGCCCCACCAAATTTCATAATATCTGTGACTGGGTCTGTGATTGGGGAAGATCAGCATCCTGGCTGATTGGAATTTGTACTCTCACACTGCCACTACACAATCAACACTGCTCCATTTTAGGCCCCTTTAGAAGCTGGGCCTTGTATCCATTGAACCCCTTTCCCTTCTCCTTGCCTGGCCTGGTCACCTATTATAATGTGTTTTTCATGTAGATAAAGTCATTAAGGAAAGAAAAGAATCCCTCAAAGAAAAAAAAGAGCTGGAAAAGATCAGCCAGAAGAGACACCTGGACTTTCTTGACATTCTTCTCTGTGCTAAGGTAAATTATCGTACCTTCCTGATGCAGTTATATGGTGTTTAAATGGAAGAAATAAAACCTATGTTTATTTCAACCGTATTCTAAGGAATGTTCTAGACTGCCCTGACAAGAAAACACACTTTTGTAAATTAGGACTAGTATAAATTATGTTATACATTCCAATTTTGACATTTTTAATGCCCATTATTTGTGAATGCAGCATTTAATGTTGAATAGCTTTTAATATCTGCAACTAAGGACAGAGCTGTAATTTTTGTGTTGATGCTCATTAACAATGGAAAATCTGAACTCATTTAGGACAGTTGTGCCTTCCATCCCCAGCAAAGCAGCTCAGATTGAGAGAGGGAGGGCAGGACTAGCAGCCAATCTTGTTCTGCTGCATGCACATGTGGTGCCTGGAAAAAGAAGTAAGCAGTTTATGTAAAGTTAATGACTTGTCAATGTGTTGCTGTTACTTTATTACACATTCAGCAGTCTAAACTCTAAGATATGTTCTAGATATGTTGTCTGACAGAGGTGTAGAAAGGAGAAAAGTGGCTTGGCAGAATTGCTAAAACCTTTGGCAGAGAAGGCAGTTTAAAATGTTGTAAATCAGCTGCCTATTTAGCTGTTTGCCCTTAATTCAGTTTAAAACTTACTGAATAAGGAAATAGAGTCGTTATGTTTTTAGGATGAGAACGGTCAGGGTTTGTCTGATGAGGACTTACGTGCAGAGGTGGACACGTTCATGTTTGAGGGGCACGATACAACAGCCAGTGGGATCTCCTGGGCATTGTACTGTATGGCCAAATACCCTGAACATCAGGGCAAATGTCGAGAGGAGATCAGAGAGCTGATAGGAGATCGGGACACTGTGGTGTGGTAAGAACTCACTATTAATGTGATGATTTTTATTACTTTGATTATTATTGGTTTAAATTGACCCAACATTTAAGTTTCTTCCTCAGAGCAGCATGAAGGTAGTGCTGTTGCTTTGCAGGGATCCTGGGATCCTGAGATCTGTTTCCAACATCGCTATCTGCACATACTTAAACCAGACTTTCACCCTCCCCACCCACTTTACCTTATTTCCCTCCTACGCCCTCTTCTCTTTTAATTGAATACAGTGTTTTCCCCCAAATTTGTTTTGGGGCCCCTTTCATTCCAGCACCTCTGAACAAAACTCAATTCTCAGCAAGAATTGAGTTTCATTGTCCTAAGTGTCTCATGTGTCATAGACCATCCATGCTCCTGGGATGCGTGACTTCAGTATTTCAGGAGACTTTGTTTAGGGCAGCTCTGGGAGACACACTTTTGACGGACAACAAGTAGTGTTTCTACAAGTTTTGTTTTGTCCCTCACTTCGCCTGGGCTGCATTTTTGCCTCTCGACACGACATTCCCACTTGATGCTGCATGTTGTTTAAGAGATATGGTTGGTTTTTCTTCTTCATCATTTTTTCTGATTGGTCGATTCATGGTGATGCCCATACAAGCCTGCGGCTAGGACCTATATCTCCCTATAGCCCCATATGGACGAAACATGTTGGGGTAACTAGAAGATACTCTGTCTATTCAATACACCTACTTATGTGAATCATTGCCTTGCGGTCAACTACCCAACCAACTTATTTTTTATATTGAAAGAGTTGAAAGTGTTTCAAAAAAGCCCCTCCCATTCGGACTTGACATACCCGAAAGTGGGTTCATTCCTTCTAACTTTTTACAATTTCAGGAGGCATTGGAGTGTTCTATGCAGCATGCATCACATCGGGGGGCTGGCTGTCTCTTACACAATTATGCAGCTGGCACCCTGATGCTGCACTGCGGGACATGAACGTTATCAGGGGTGGGCTGCAAGAACCTGGAAAGGACAGCCGGTCCCCCGAAGACGTAAGTAAAAAAAGATGGCGGTGTGAGACCCAGCATGTAGCAGTAGATTGGCGGACTGCAGCAGGAAAACCCTAAGAACACTGGAGTATGCAATTTTAGGATAACCTGGTAAACAAGTAAATTAGGGATTTGAACAAACATTTATAACAGGGAAATTCCTTTTTAATATGTTCTCAGTGTGTTTATGGGGTGAATTTTTGTTGACAGCATCTTCAGTTACTTACCAGTATCATGCTATGCCGTATCTTGATAGCTCCTGGGTTGTCCATCAGCATTGCTACCTGCTGGTTAAATGTAGTATTACAATGGGACCATAAAGTACAATTCCTTATCTGCTTTTGAGAGGCATTGCTGATATGAAAACAGCAGCCAGATTTAAGGTTGCTGCAGTCAGATCTGATCAATTTGTTTGCGCTATTTTAGTGAATAATCCTGTAAGAATTTGGTTTCAGACACAGCTGGGCAATGAGGATCCATCCATTTTACCAGAAGGGTCCCAGGCCGGGAAAGGATTTCCAGCCAAACTGTAAACCTTCAAAGTGCTTCTGAATTGGCAACGTTTGGTAATAGGTAATCCTTTGTGTTGTCAGGGAGGATTTGGCTAAGATGCCGTACACCGCTATGTGTATTAAGGAGTGCATGCGTTTGTATCCACCTGTACCTGAAGTGGCACGTGAGCTCAGCCAACCAATCACATTCTGTGATGGGCGAAGCCTTCCCAAAGGTTAGTCATCATTGCTGTTTTTGTTAAATATAATTTTTTATGTAATAAATGAATTTATGTCTCAGGAAGTGTCTATTTTACTCATTAATATGAATGCATGTTCTGCTACTAACTGTAAAACAAAATATGAATTATCAGTTAGGAAAATATCTGGGGCATTTTAATGAACTGCAAGGAGGTCTTCCCTCTAAATAATGTTTTTCCTATTTTTATCTTTAGTAGCCTGAGATTTCTTTCTCTCCAGAATATAAATATATTGTCTCTGGCTAGTGTTCTTTAATTCTGTTCACCTTCAGTATAAGTATTCTCATTCACTCATGTCCCTACTGTATCTACAGGTGCTGGTGTTCTCTTGAGCATCTATGCAATGAACAGATGTCCTAGTGTATGGGAAGATCCAGAGGCAAGTGCAGGGCCGGATTTACTCTCCTTGCCGCCCCAAGGCCAGGTTCCACTATACACCCCCCCGCACGCCGCCAACCCCCCGTCCCCATCAATTGTGAATGGCAACCAGATGGCAGGACGGCAGGGGGGTGTATTGTGGAACTTGACCTTTGGGCGGGGCTAGTTTCATTTTTTTTTTTTTTAGAAGTTCCGCCGCCGGGACACCTCACACTGGCGCCTGCAACTTCCCCACAAGGTCACCGCTGCCGCCCCCGAGGCGCTCTGCCGCTCCGAGGCCGGGCATCGGTGGCCTTGTGGGAAATCCGGGCCTGGGCAGGTGCTCATATTGTTAAATATGTTTGACTTTATTCAGGGCCATTACTACAGATCACGGGCCCCCACAACAAACATTTGATGGGGACCCCCTTTGACCTGTGACTAGCTACACCAAGATATCAAAGACTTCTCTCATACATCTGATGCCTTCCCTCCTAAACTGCAGACCAGGGGTAACCAGATTTTGGCCCTCTGGCTGTAATGAAACTAAAGATCCCATTATGCATCTGCCTCTGCAAGTCATGCCTGTGGCTATCAGAATCTTGCAATGTCTTATGGGACTTGTAGTTTCACAACAACTGGAGGGCTGGAGTTTGGCTACCCCTGCTATAGACTTTATAGGGAAGTACAGTTGTTGTCAACTGCAATCACTCCTATTTTTAATAACACAGTACTGTAGTGTCTTTATAAGCACACAAATGTTTTGTTTAATTTGCCTCAACAACCTCCTTAATGGGGCCCCCTTCCACCTCCAGGCCCCATAGCAGCCGCTTGAAAGCTAAAATCCAATTGGCTGTTTTAAATAGCACAGGCACTCAGAGCTAGTAGTAGTTAGCCATATTCAACTGGACTTATAATGTTGAAGACGTTTCACTGCTCACTCAGCCAAGCAGCTTCTTTAGTTCGAGTGTGTGTCAGGAACATACTCCAGCAGTTATAGCCACACAAGTAACTCAGTCACCTTTAAGTGACACTAAACTCAGGAGCTAAGTCTTAAAAATGCATTCAGGTACCTTAACTATTAACAAAAATGTATCTTATTTGCATATCACTCAGCTGTAGATCCTCAAATCATCTCTGAATTGGTGCCGACAATGTCCTTCCTTCTGGAGGGGGTCTACCTTTGTTCACTATGGAGCGAGCTTGGAGCGGTGACTACTTTACAACACACACAGGGACCATGGGGAACAAAAGTAGCCCCCCTCCAGAAGGAAGGACAGTGTCAGCACCACTTCAGAGATGATTTGAGGATCTACAGCCGAGTGATACACAAATAAGATACATTTTGTTAATAGTTAATGTACTTGAATGTATTTTTAAAATTTAACTCCTGAGTTTAGTGTCACTTTAATTCTATTGCCAAAGAATGTTAAGGGAGATATTGATTGTTCAAGAACAGAATGGGGGGGAGGTGAAATTACTATGTTTCAATCTCAAAATTCAGGCACCATATTGCCTGTGTCTGGGACAGGTGCTCATTGTCCAAGTCACGTGGCTGAAAGTATAAATTGTTGTCAAATCGCCTCTACCTTGGTGTGAGGACCTTCACAGACAACAAAGAAGCTTTCAGAATATTCGGTTTTTCTAAAGGCAGCCAAACACGTATTGATATGGTCATTCCATCAATCATTCAATGGTACTAAAATGATCAAATTGAACCGTAAACCACAGACCTTCCATTCATATGATATAGTGAGATGGTTCAATGGTTTTTGACTTTGGGAAGTTGATCAGATGAAGTGAACATTTATTGATTGTTTCTTATCGATCAAATGAATATCTGCACGCATGTCGGACAATCGAAATACAGAACAGTTATAGTTCTGACATGCGGTTAGAAAGTAGTCACTCACTCAATCAATCAGTGACTGACCTCTAGCTGCATCTAATTGTATCACAAACGACTACATACTGTGTGCCGGCGTTCACATGCAGTGGCTGTCACCCGATCATTAACTTGAACGGGCGGCTGCTGCCGCTTGTAAACATCAGATTAGGGATTCCTGCTGCGGGAAAACACAAGTTCCTGAAGCAGGAATTCCTAATCACACATAAACTTACAGGTGTGAATGAGGCCGTAAACACACTGGCAATTACTATTTTGGTTCCACATATACAGCATTTTAATAATGGACAATTCTCTTTCTGCTTTTAGGTGTTTGATCCTCTTAGATTTTCTCCTGAAAATACCTCCAAAAGACAGTCACATGCTTTCCTGCCCTTCTCTGCCGGAGTAAGGTATATCTGGTTTATCTGGCTTTGTACAACATACAAACATTGAGTTGAAAGAGTAAAACAGGGTAGACTTTTTTAAAGGTCCTAATTAATCAGAATATCTGAAGGAAAAGCTGTTTTTCTTGTCCACCAATCAGATTATTCAAATTATTTTTTCTGTTACAGTAGGGGATAGGACCATCCAATCGCTTGCTTTGGACAATAAGAAAAATTGTTTCCTTAGACACTTCACATATCTAAAAGTTTTGGATTGATGGCTGATTAGGGCACCACATTCCCTAGAAACATACTGCTTTAAGCTCTTTACTTCCGTTTGAAACCTTTCTTTAGAGATTCAACACACAGCAGTTCTGTATATACATCTGGTAATCCCAGGAGAAAGGTTCTCCAGGAAATATTTACCAATAAATAATAACTATATTACTGTAGAATATAACCTCTATGTCCCCCCTGTGATTCTACGTTTATTTTATTATTGACAACTTGACTTCCCTGCCTACCATATCTAACCCTACCCTTTACCCTGTCCAAACAGAGCCCCATTACCGGCCAATTTGACCAGTAACAGAGTAACTGAGTGGTTATGGCTTAGCTGTAAAGGTGGCACTGCCCCCTTCTCACCAAGATAGAATTGTCAATATGAGTCGAGTGAATCCAAGATCAGAGGAATGGACAAAAGATGTGACAGAAATTATAGAAAGAACCAGTGGTGGCATGAGTTAGTATTCTTTATTACTTACTAAGTATATCAAGATCCACATCAGAGCTCTCTCAGCTCTCTAAATGCACCCGGTTTGCAGCCTTTTCCTTTTATGTGCTTTTAGGAAGGGCTTTTAAAAGTTTAAAACAGCTAACAAAGTGAACCTGTTGCACAGCAAAACTCTAACAGAAGTGGCATCATTGGCAGGACATTTCCTTTGTTTCACTGTCCAACCCACCATAGACCTCATACAGAATACAGGTTATGGTTTCTCTGGGCAAAAAACGAATAAGAAGTCCCATCTATGTGAAGGTATAAATAATAAATATAATAAAATGTCTAAAACAAATGTTGACTTAAAATTGAAACCATCCATCCTACTTCCCAGAAACTGCATTGGACAGAATTTTGCAATGAATGAGATGAAGATTGCCTTGGCGCTCACATTACAGAGGTTTGAATTGTACCCGGATCCCACACAGGAACCCATAAAGATCCTCCAGTTAGTTTTGAAATCTTTCAATGGAATCCACCTGAATCTGAAGAAAATAGACCGCATGAAAGAGAAAGATCTGTAACAGAAAGGACTGGCAAACTTGTACAAACCTTCCTGAACAGCTCAACGACAATTACTGAAATAAATAAACGATCGTGATCAATACTGTACACAAATCATGTGCTAATAAAAAAAGAATATGTCATGATTGTATGCATTACTTATGTGGATGGATAGGGCCTATGTCTAATGGAATATGGATAAGGGGTGCCACTGAGTATTTTTTTTTAATTTGCATTCATGTTTTTTTGTTTTCCTGTCCCCTTTAATGGAAGCTGACATAAAACAGATTCCTGCATTGCCATTTTTTTAACCCCTTTCTAAAAATATACTGTAAGCCACCTGCCTTTCATTCTGATCATTTGACTTCAGTACTCACTCAGCTGCTGAACAAGAACAAGCACGCAGGTCCAGAGTTCCGACTTTACTGGCAATTAGGTTCAGCCATAGTGACTCAACTAGTGAAACCCTAGGTTAAGCATGACAGCAAGGGGTTTCAGAAGGTAATTGAAAATGGCAGCCTAAGCATTTCTCTTATGGCATGTTCCTGATAATGTTCTTTAAAGCCCATCTACGGGGAAACAAAAAAACTGCCCCTGCACTGCAAGAGCTAAGTGCTTCTTTTTGCCTATGGGTTGAAGTAAATCCTATGTAGTTACCTGATCCCCATTCCTGCCGGCTTGCTCTGGGCTGATAGACCGGTCCCTGCAGCCTCTTCTTCCCGGGTTCTGGTGGTTGGAGGCCCACTGACGTCATCACATCTATGCAGGTTTTGTCATTTAAAAAAAAAAACTGTTCAGATATACAATGCTGGTACCTAGCGCTGCCTATACATACCTATATCATTTTACAAAACTCTGCTGTTAAAATCCCAGAAGTTCTGCCAGACAATGCTTTGGCACCACCTGCTAGTAACAATGTTTTTCTGCCCTCTCCTGCCTCCCGCACATTCCTTTTTGCCAGTGAAGCAGTCCTCCACAGTTATAGACCAACTGGAATCAGTAGGGTGGGAGGTAGCAGCATTCTTATAAAAATTCTGAGAAAATACTCCAATCTATTCAGGTGGGTTAGGATTTTCTTGACTTGAATCTCCACTAGGATTAATTTGAATCCATATCGTAATATGACTCGCTGGAATGTTTTTCCCTGTAAAGACCTTCACTTTATACATGTAACAGTTTTTAATGACATGAGCTCTTTAAAGGGTTAGTTCACATTTACATCATATTTCCAAAACAGTACCTATGCATTCCAGCTTCTGTAGCACATTAAAAAGCAGCCCTCATGTTCTACATTTTTTTTAAATGTCTAAGGTGTACCTGTAGGCTGGTTGCAGCATCTTCCAGGCTTGTCTGTAAAACTTCTAAAATGAGCGAAGGAAGAAAAAGCTTTGGTGCTAAAGTGGTCAAAAGCACTCACTTGTTAGAGATAGATAACTGTTCATACATATTATTTAATAACAATGCAACCTTCATGACGGAATTCACATGCTGGATGCTAACAGTACATGTATTATCCCCTTACAGTTTTCATTATATTTTTCATCATCCTTTAAGGGATAACTGTCAACACCAGTACAACTGCAAGGCATCATTTTGCCCTCACATACTCATACCTCCTAATATTCTGAGATGAGAAAGAGGGACATCTTCTACCACAATGTATATAGGCAATGGACACACACCCTCCACTCCATCAGTTATGTGAACCATTGAGAATGTATATCCCAAAAATAATTGGTTAAACCCAGAATTGTTTTTTGTTTTTTTAACCATTACTTTTCCGTTATACTGGCTTTTCCAAATAGCAAACAAGATCATTAAGAAATAAGATAAAGGTTTTAATGCAGAATAAAGCCAGGTATACAAGCTTCATCAAGAACTGGTCAAAATCTGATACGTGGGTACCGCTGTCGGCACCTTTCCGACCGGCATCCCTCAATCAGCTGAAGAAGCATGTCGGAAAATTATCAGTCCAACAGAACTAGCAGACAATGAGCTGCAATCTCTGTTCAGGTATTCTGTTCGATCAACGTTCATGAGTGTTGATGGAGGAATCTGTTCTATTTTCTTTGTTCAGCCAACAGGTTTAATGAGGAAAATAGAACGTGTATACCTGGCATACCTTTTGGGAGTTAAATAGATCCTTTTTATTAGGGTTGCACAGATACCAAGTACAGTACTCGGTACAAGTACGAGTACAGGTACCGATACTTTTGAGCTCTAGACTAGACTAGAGAAAAATTCAAAAGTTAGGAGGCAGCTGTCATTTGTAAGGAGCACACGGAGCTCCTGGGATTTGTACATCTCGGTTTTAATGTGCGATTTTGTTTTTATAAATATAAATAAAGGGATGCACAGATACCAGTTTTGCGAGTACGAGTACTGGTACTTGCCGAGTACTACAAGTACGAATACTGATACATTTTTCTTTATTGTCATGTGACAGTTTTTCTAAAACAATACAGACTAATGATTTCAGGACAGTGGGTTGCAGCGGTTGCAGCTGGTGGAGTGCCAGAGCCCGGTCCCAGCTGCAACCGCTGCAACCCTGGTAGTTCTCATGAAAATGCCAAGTATCTGCACTGGTACTCAAAAAGTATCTGTGCAACCCTACTTTTTATAGATATCTGTACATCAGACCAAAAAGCGGGACAATTGAGGAGGAAAGAGGGACAGAGGGATTTGGTTCCCAATGAGTGACAGTGCCTTTAGTTCCTCTAAATCAGTGGTTCTCAACTCGTGGGTCGCGACCCAAAAGTGAAAGGACAGTTGGGAGGTATACATACTTAAAAAAAGGGATAAAGGAGCAAAAGATTACAAATAACTAAAGTCACAGTGTGAATGGCATGTGGAACCACTGCGCAGAATAGTATAGAGGACAATGGCTTCTCTCTTGTACCGAAAACAAACTGTAACTAACAATTAAAGTGAAAACTAAACTCAGGAGTTAAATCTTAAAAATGCATTCAAGAAACTTAACTATTAACAAAAATGGAAAATATATGTGAATTAAGTTACCGCAATTCCCACCAATCTCAGAAGGTCAATAAGATATGATTCAGACTTCATCCTAGTCATACCATCCATGTTTCTATTTGTGGGAAACTGACCTATCATTAGGGGAAATGTTGAGACTTGTGATCATTTGTGAAATATTACTGCAGATATTCATTGGAAAGTCAAGATAAAATATTTCCAGGCCCTAAATGTGAAACATACATTTAAAAAAAGTAAATAAAAGTTGTGGGAACTTGGCGAAACCTACTCTAGAGATGTTACTTATGTCTGCCTGCAAAGTTTGGAGTGCCTACAGCATAATGGAGTGACCACAGCTGTCAAGTATTAAAGTGACACTAAACTCAGGAGTTAAATCTTCAAAATTCATTCAAGTACTTTAACTATTAACATAAATGTATTTTATTTGTGTATCATTTGGCTGTAGATCCTCCAATCATCTCTGAATTGGTGCCGACACTGTCCTTCCTTCTGGAAGGGGGGCTACTTTTGTTACCCATGGTCCCTGTGTGTGTTCTAAAGTAGTCACCACTCCAAGCTCGCTCCCGTGATGGACTACAATCTCATGTTTAGTTTACTAATTTCTATTGAGATTGTAGTCCATCATGATTTGAGGATCTACAGCTGAGTGATAGACAAATAAGCTACAGTGTTGTTAACAGTTAAAGGGTTTCTAAACCCTCAGTTTTTTTTGCATATATCTACTGCTAGCGAGTAGTAGATATATGCAAAAAGTAAAAAAAAAACAAAACAACAACGCTTTAACAGCGGTTTAAACTTACCTGTGTGTTTCCTGCGCACTCCCATCCGAAAATGTGAAACGGCCGCAAAGCATCTTGGGGCGGGCGCATGCGCAGTTCACATTTTCGCCCGGGACGCGAGGAAAGACACAAGGTAAGTCTATGGATGCCTGCACCTGCATGCAGACACCATGAGAGAGTACGTGCCAGCAATCACAGAGAAGTCAGCTCTGGATTGGAGATTCGCTGCAGAGCTGGAGGGAAGGCTGAACACTACAGGAAAGAAGAAGATGATCGGATTAAAAGACATCATTTAAGGTAAGTGCTTTAATTAACGTTGGGGTGAGGGAAGAAAATGTTTTGCCTTTAATGTCACTTTAAGCTACATGAATGTATTTAACTCCTGAGTTTAGTGTCATTTTAATGATACCTCTGAGAACGATGATAATCCCATTTGGGACACGGTGATCCAGACACTGACAATACACAAGAATCACAAGCCACTTTTCCACAGCTGAGCTTCTAAATGATACATTTTTTAATGAAAGGAAATGTAACAGTACGGTATGTGTTGTGAATACTGCACTGGTGTCCTTTTAAAGTGCTTTGTTTACATGTGAGGCATTGCCAGTATGACACCGTGCTCAGCTCCACCTCTCTCCTCCTCTGTACACTGTCCTATGTCCCTGTGTCATCTGGGCAGGTGCTTCCTGCTGTCACCGTCCGTCACCTTTCATTCTGCTCCGGTCAGGAATGTGTCATGTCTGTCCCTGGGATTTTTGGCTTCCTTTCTTTGAGTTTCTGCGATCTGTGTCACTGGACTGCCTGGCTCTGCGTTCTCTACGTTCTGTTCAAAGCCTCTAAGCTGTATGTGAAATGGAGGGAGCTGTGCAGAGCATTCAGTCCTTTCCCAGGTCCTAAACTTCACTGGCTGTATGGCAATGCCCATGAGGTAAGGAATAAATCTGAGACAGTTCATCTACAATGGAGTGAGTATAGCATTTAGGATGTCATAACAAGATTTCATTTTTTTTTTTGCACAGCAGTTAAAGAGAATCTGTCAGACCGTTTATTGCAACAAAAATCTTCCCATAAGATAACATGTAAATTAATGTATGCCCATCATTGGTGTCACTGGGAGGAATAGTGCTCAAGGGGCAGTTAAATGCATACAAAAGACCTCATCCGGCCAGCAGGTCTTAGTATGGAGACCACTGCATTAGAACAAAGAGAAAGGCTAATAAAGAAAAAAGAGGCACAGTGGTATTTGCACGCAAAACATGCACAGTTTGAAGTTATGGTGACCTGACCTTTTTTTGGTAGATGTAGGCGGGTCATTTAAAAGGCCGCCTGAGCATCAGACACACTGGGCTGTGCACAGTACCCTTCGTCTGCTGATTTTAGGGTTCATTGAACTCTATCTACAGTGGTTCTGCTCTGTGCATGTGCACTGGACTGTTTATCAAACACAGTGCAAAGCATCTTGGGTGCTTTGGGGATGCCTTGTACTACGCTCAGCAAATCTAATAAGCACAGTTCAATGTGAGTGGAGCTCTGGTGACCTTTTCTACACCTGCCCTTATATGTATCTGAGACTCCTGCAGGTAAAATCTCCTCTGCCATGGCCATAACAGTATCAAATGAGGGGGATCTAACGCCTCATTTTGCATTCTGTGCAAAATAATAGAATATTCACAAAAAAGGAGTTATACTCCTCAAATGCTGAGGTCTCACCACTGGACTTTGCTATTAGACAGAACAGTGCTTAATGCTGCCCCAGGCTTGATCCATAAACTAATGGCAAAAGAGTGGGGAGAGTAGAGAAGTGCAAGCTTAAAGTGACATTAAACCCTCAGATTTTTTAACATAAACCAATACTGTAATGTGTGCCTTACTGTAATCCATGGTTGTTTCCCTTCTCTTTGCTGCTCTTCCTTTTAAATCCTCATGTCTTCTCATGCTAGGGGAGAACTTCCCTTTGCAGCTGAGTGCCTCTTCCTGTAGTGCTGGCTCAGGTTGTGAACCTACACACAGACACCATGTATCCATTTCAGAGACAAGGCAGTCTGCTGCAAAACAGAAGTTCTGCCCAGCATGAGAACAGATACAGATTTAAAAGGAAGAGCAGCAAAGAGAAGGGAAACTACCATGGATTACAGTAAGGCACACATTACACTATTGTTCTATGTTAAAAAATCTGGGGGTTTAATGTCACTTTAAGGGAGGGGGTCAATATGCACGGGGACACCAGCTGGAGAAATCAATCTGCTGCTGTCCATGGATACTGGAATGCTCACCAACCAGGTACATCATAGTGAGTCACAGCACCACTGTGACAAGTTGGAGAATAGGTAGCTGTCTCCCTATCAGCTGTTCTCAATATTTTTCTGTGTGCGCGCAGCCTAAAATCTGTAAATCATGATATGTCATCTGTCTCTAGGTACCTGATATGTATTGGTTACATTAGAAGCAATAATATTTCTAATCTATACCCCTATGAGGTCTGGAGTTTGAACTCTTCTTATTGTTTCAGAGATGTCTTCAATCTGATAATGTTTCCTTGTTATCTTTTCTTGTTGTACTCTTTATGGTCTACGGCTGTAGCATATGTGTTTTAATGATGCCTAATAAATCTGAACTCCATTACCTTCAGTAGGTTACCATGAACCATATTCTCTGTGTAAGGGTCATAACTGAGTTATGTCTTTTGTGTGCTTGAAATTTCCACCAGCATGTTCCGATGCATGTTACTACTGTAGCCACCTTGCCCTAAATGTGGTGACGATTTAAATTTAGCTCTGCTGGGCTGTAAACAGCCTAAGGCTAAGCCAAATTGATAGTGTTGAATTCATTTGGTGTCGCCTAAGCATCCTAAGAGTCTTTGTTAGCTTCTGCTTGCTGCTGGGGTTTGAGCAAGAAGAGTCAATAATGCCGGGTTATGAATATTTATAACTCCTTCGCCAACTACTAGGAGGTTTAGTACCAGTGGTGCATGCTAGGGGGGCATACATATTTGGAGCTGAACTTGTGAAGTCTCTTTACCCCAGACTTCTGTCTGGGGGAGAATGTGTTCGTTACTGGGGTTCTAGCTAGGTCTGCTTCATAGGGAAGACCTGCTTGTGGCCAGAAAAAGGGGTCTGAATGTGGGCATGAAGCTGTCTTACCTGTGAGGGGGAAGCCGACCCAGGATCGATCTGCTAAAGTGAGACACTGTCGAAAGGTGACGCTAGGTAGAAGCTGGATCCTTGCATGGGCCTGGTAACTCATTTAGGAGGATGCAGGGAGAAGTCTGATAATCAGCTGAGGTTCTGCTCTTTGCACTGTGGAGCTCGAAAGTGGATATGGAGTCTGGATTCTGTAAAGTGTCCTGGGTGTCTGTAGCTCTTACTCCTCTCACTATGAGGAATAACCTTATGGTCACACCCCACAACCAGTAGAGTTACCCCTGAGGTAAAATGCTAGCCCACACTGCCTCTGGGGTCCCTCACATGCCTTTGGGGGTCAGGGGGGTGCCACACTATGTACCACAGACATTTCTTCCAACTTAAGAAACCAATGAAACAAATATACAGCATCTAATTGGCTGCAAAATTAAGGTAATTCTCTAGTTAGCTAACCATTGCTGATGTTATATGGAAACATAGCATGGGGTGGTGACAACAATTCAGAGCTTTTAATTCTGTACACTCTGTGCCATTGCCCCAACCCCTTGCAAGTTGGACAGCTGGTGATCATCTCATCACAGTGATGTAGCTTTTGCAGCTTCTGTAACCACTCCTAAGTATGTCATCCCCCACGCACACCTTAACAAAGTCTGAAGTTACAGATTTCTCAACCTCCACTGACTGGTAGAGGACATTATTTAAATTTGATATTCCTTCTGCAGTAATGTCAATCAGTTATGGATCATCCCTTTTTTATATGAATTAATATACTCAGAATGTATGTTCTGTTGTGTATCTATATAAACCTTAGTTCCACGGTGATGGAAAAGACATGGAAATCATCATGCGTTATGCGGAACAGTACCCATACGCCTACCCACTATGGATGGGGAACTTCTTTGCATCGTTGAATATCTGTCACCCCGATTATGCGAAGGCCATTCTGTCCAGACAGGGTAAGAGCTGCCATTCACTACACTCAATGATTTTATTTGTATTCATTCAGTGCTGCCTTCTGATAGTAGTATTTTTCTCCTGGCAGATCCAAAGGATAATTTTGGCTATTACTTCCTTACTCCATGGATTGGCAAGTAATATTATTTGATTACACCCCATATAGTTCTACATGCCAAAATCAAAAACAGTGTGATTTACGTTTTGTACATTACATGCACGGGTGCTGGAGTGGGCAATATCCCTTCTTGAACATGCTCTCCATGATGATATGTTAGCTAGTAGATATCAGTGCAGAGCCATTTGTGCTCAGAATGATGCACTACCCTCAAGGCCCTGTTACACTAGCCCTCCATGTAATAATAACACGAACCCTTTCTGTAACCCTAACACTAATCCTTCTTCTAATTTTACCACTAACCCTAATAGTAACTCTCCCTGTACACCTAACACTAACCCTTCTTGTAACCCTAACACTAACCCTTCTTTTAATCCTAACACTGATCTTCTTTGTACGCTTAGTACCAGTCCACAGTGTAAAGCTGACTATACATTATGCGAAATTCACACAGTGGGTTCCGCTGTTGGCACCCTTTTGGCCGGCATCCCTCGATCAGCTGATCGAAGGAGCTGGTTAGAAAATCTTTGAACAAACAAAGCCGGCAGCCAATGAGTTGCCCACTCTGTTCGGGTATTTTAACACTGGTCCGCAGCCGCTGTCAGTATACAGAGGAAACACTCATAACGCTCATATGCATCGGTGAAGAAATCTGTTCTATTTTTTTCATTCAGCCCAGCGGGTTGAATGAAAAAAACTGAACAGTGTATAGCCAACTTTAGTCTAACACTAAACCATCACTGTAACTATAACACTAACCCTTCCTGTGATGCTAAAACTATCCTCCCACTAACCCTAACCTACCCTGTACCAATAACACTAACCCTTTTTGTAATCTTAACATTAATCCTCCCTGTAACCCTAACCCTCCCTGTAACCCTAACACTAACCCTCCCTGTAACCTAACACTATCCCTTATTTTAGCAGTATAACTAACTCTTACTGTAAACCCTAACACTAACCCTCCCTGTAGCCATAGCACTAACCCTTCCTCTAAACCTAACACCAGTCCTCCCTGTAACTTTAACAATAACCCCAACACTAACTGTTCCTGTAACCCTAACACTAACCCAGTTCTGTAACCATAACATTAATTTTCCCTGTAACCTTAATACTAACCTTCCCTTTAAGTCTAAACTCACACTTAGGTCTAACATTAATCGTCACACTTACCTTCTCTTTAAACTCTGCCCTCACACCAGTACTCCTTTATGTAAATGTATTCCCTAATTTGCATATTCATATCTCCTGCACCTGGGTCCTTTGCATCAATAATTAACCCCTCTGCACGCTAGGATGCCAGCGCTAGAATCGTTGGTTTTGATATAGAAATCTAATTAGTTTTTTTTTAAGTCACAGAAGTGTATATGAGCAGAGCTCAGCGGGGGTGACCTGTGCAAAGCATGTTGCATTTAATTATACACAACATATACAGTACATATGAGTTTAATATTCCACAAGTGTTCAGTAAAAAAACAGTGTACACAACTCCATAAATGTCCATCAATTATTCTTAATGATTTTTTATTCCATGATCTTTTTAATGATCACTCAGGTAAAGGGTTGCTGGTGTTATCGGGCCAGAAGTGGTTTCAGCACCGCAGACTGCTAACCCCCGCCTTCCATTATGACGTATTGAAGCCGTATATCAGACTCATGTCGGACTGTGTGAACGTCATGCTGGTAAGTACACATCTTGCAAAGAAAAGGACACTGGTACCCATGTATTAGGCCCCATTCACACTGAGCGATTTATCGCGCGGTAATTCCCGCGATATCGCGGCTATTTACCGCGCGATATCGCTCTCCAATGCATCTCAATGGGGCTCTGTCCGTCGCTGTCGCGGGTCGTGTGTCGCTACAGCAGGACCCTTTTTGGAGCGGATTTTGCCACGATTCTAGCTTGCTCAATGCAAGCATTTGCGCGATATCGCGCGACAAACGCACGATATCGCGCAAAATGCAAATCGCGTGACAAATCACTCAATATGAATGGGGCCTAAGTGTGTCTAAAGCGGGCCATACATGTAATGATAAGCAACTAATTGATCATAGATCCCATTGTTTCAAAGAATCATCTGTTTGAAAACTGTTGAATAGATCGGTTTGGTTGAATTCCACTGGATTTTCCACTACCGTAGTTGTCCCATTTTGATTAAGTTCACTCCTCCATGTTCCATTGATGCATTACTGCCTGCACATTGACATGCGGTATTTCACTTATCAATGTGTTGTTTTGGTTTCAAACACTTTTGACACATAAGGTCCATCAGTTCTAATAAAATAACTCACTGCCGATATATTTTCTTATATAAAGTTCATTTTGTTATTTCAGAATAAATGGGAGAATATCGTCCCGGATAAGAAGCCAGTGGAGCTCTTCCATCATGTCAGCCTCATGACACTGGACAGCATTATGAAGTGTGCCTTCAGTTACCAGAGCAACTGCCAGAATGACAGGTCAGTGTTCGGGGATTCCATCACCAGTTTCCATTGTTTAAGACATCTAACCTAATAAAGCACATTAAAATAAAATTATGGACAAAATCAAAACTGACATATATGATGATGCACTCTGTGTTATGATATGATGAGTTTTTTCCTGTAACATAGTTTTATTACCTGTTCATCTTGGCAGCAGATTTGTTATTTTTCTTATTCTTTCCTCCAATCAAACTGCGAAGTAAAAGAGACTTTAGTGGTTGCTAGGAGCTCGGTAAGATGCCGGCAAGAGAGTCCTAGGTTGCTAAGAGCTGGGAGGAGAGATTTGTATGACCCCTACACATCTCTCCGCCTGACTCTTAGCAACCTGGGAGGCTCTGGCCGGAAAAGGGGCGGCAGGCCCACTGCAAACATTATGCAGCAGAGCGGCCATGCGGCTCTGACTGCCACCCCCCTCCACGTGACCCAAAGAGATGCCGTCTGAGGCACAGTTGTATGGTTTTATATCTGTAAGTTATAAATGGCCACATTTCTAGTAGTCTAGGTCCTGGTTATTCTGAGACAACTGAACAGTAGGCACAGAGCCGTCTCTATAATGAGGCAGCCTGAGGTGGTTGCCTCTGGTGGAATTTCACTGAGAGGTGTGGGGGCAGTGTGGCGGCTGGGTGGTGGTGGGAGGCAGCTGAATGGATTGGGGGGGCGGCCACAGCGCCCTAGGTTGTTAAGAGCTCTTAGCAACCTATGACGCTCTCTACCTGGCTTCCCTCCAAGCTCCCTAACGTCATCATTTGCCTAGAGCTGAGTGGAACGCTCTGGCTTGTGTCCCGGCAAGCTCCTGGCAACCAGTGAGGTCAGTGAGCTGGCCCGGGACGCAGACCGAACTGCAGACAGCGCAGTCTGGCGTCCGCCGCTGCCCAAATGCTGCTTCCCCCCCTCCCAGACGATAAGTGAACCAGTGAGTGATTATTCCCTGTCAGCACACCCCCCATCCCCGGAAAGGAAATCGCCTCAGGCGGCGATCACCATAGGGACGGCCCTGAGTAAGCATGTGCCAGTATGATAATCCTCCTCAGACTAATGTATACTGATCATCAACGATCATTAAAGAGGACAACCAACAACAAATAAATAGGAACACATAAGTGTGGGTTCAGAAAACTAGGGAGCTGTTGTTGTAGAAATGTTGTAGAAATGTTGTAGAAATACAATGTACAATGAGCCAATCAGAAGCCAGCTTTCACCTGAGCTGTAGAGAATCTTGTAACTACTCTTAGCTTGCACAGAAGCAGAGGCTACAGATGGAGAGATATCTGTAGTAGTGCTATAACCTCCTTTGGTATCATTCATATGTATATGGCCAGTGTGTTTTTATTAGTAAGGCAAGGTCCCAATTGTATGTACTTTTTAGATTGTAAGATCTCCTAACCATCTTGTCTTGAATTGTATTGTAACTGTAATGTCTTCCTTATATTGTAAAGAGCTGTATTTCATTTCATCTTTATTTACTCATCTTCTCCTTAGTGAAAGTGCCTACATCAAGGCAGTGTACGATCTCTCCTACCTGGTGGATTATAGATTCACCTGCCTGCCCTATCACAAGGATTTCCTTTTCCACCTGAGTCCTCATGGATTCCGCTTCCGGAGAGCTCTGAGGACAGCGCATCAGCACACAGGTCAGTCTGCAATGACATTGGACAGTTATTGGATAATGTTTAGCTTACTGTGTTATATGGAAGGCAAAGTTGTTAAATTTGTCCTACCAAGTGGAGAACTGAGCAGGGGGTAGGGGGAACTGCACCCCATTGCCAATACAAATAATATATTTTGGGCGGGTGGCCCTGAGTGGAGATAATTCCATATTCAGACCTCAATCAGCTTGGGACCTACAGTCAGTGACAGTTGCTGGGTGTTATATGGCTGCCAGCACCCTGCTCAGATCTGTGATCACATCACCTAGAAAAGGGAAGTCTTTCTTCAGGGCCTTCCCTATAATGAGGCAGCCTGAAGTGGTTGCCTAAGGCAGCTACTCAGTGAAGAGGGTGGCAGGTTTCCTAGAGAGCGGCACCATGCAGCCCCCTCAGCTCCCCTTGTAACGTGCACCACCAAACCCCCCAAATAATGTGCGCCGCCACCACCACAACCACCCCGGTAACGTGCAAGATTGCCATCCCCCCATAACGTGCACCAACCACGATTGCGTGACCAACCCAACCCACCGCAGCCTCAGGTGGCGAAAAGTGTAGGGATGACTCTGTCTCCTACATAGCATATAGCATATGTATTTGAAAAGCTATGTTGCATTTAACTATGTTCTTTAAACCCCCCAGCTTTCACCATGGCCCCCAATAACTGCGGCACCACAATGCACTTTATGTGATACACTTCTTTAGTCCACGGTAAACTGTCCCTACGATGGAAGCACCAATTGATTGTGCTTGACTGGAAAAGTTTGCAATCCTCCCATGAACCTGCCCCTTGTGATTTTGTTAAAAGCAGAGTGTCACTTGTATCCAAAAGTATACCTGTTAAAAGTAGAGGCAATGCACTTACCTTTACCCTGTTGCTTCTTCCCTGCTGCTGCAAGTATTCCATTCTTCCGTGTGTGACCTTCTGCTGACAAAAGGTCTTGTTTGTCACACGGTCAAACATGTCAAAAAACTTGAAACTCTTATTTATGCCCTTGATGACTAATGTCATCCAAGGGCAGCATCTTAACGCTTCTGTGCACTTTGATGGATACAATGAGGCACTTATGATATGTTTTGTTATAACAAAGGGCATTGCAGTGCTAACCTGATCTGTGTGCTTAGTTATGCCTGTTCGATATATGTGCCCAACCTGCGGCCCTAGAGATGAATTCAGCCATTTGGTACATATTGTGTGATCCTAAGTCCCCAGCAGCTGGAAGTCTCAGAAATCATCTAAGACAATGGTGGTCAACTTACTAGAAGGAAACTCAGGTGTGGCCTCTGGATCAGTAATCTTGCCTGAGGCCAGGGCTCAGGGCCAGTGGATGAACAATATTCATTAGAATGGTTTTGGTATATTTCATTTACATGTCTTTCTTTTTCAGTGCTTTCTATTTTCTTTTCTCTTTTATAATTCATGTTGCAAAAAAGAATATCTAATGTGGCACCTTTAATTTTTAAGACGATCTAGGGAAGACAAATGTGGGAACATTAAAGGGACTGTGGTCATGGCAGTGATCTTTAGCAACATGTAACGCAGATACCTTGTGTAGAATCATTCAAGAGACGACTGGACGATTTCCTCAGGGACCGTAATATACAGAGGTACAAGTACTCTTAAAATTGAGAACACACAGGGACCTATACATACTAATAGGACCATACACACATACACAAATAGGTTGGACTTGATGGACATATGTCTTTATTCAACCTCAAATACTATGTAACTATGTAACTACGGTATGTAACTATGTGTCTCCAGTCTCTCATGGTCTCCGGCAAAATGTCCTGAATCACCAACTAATCCTGTAGCTCTGACCATCTCCTGTAGCATGTCTACAGTTTCTAACAACTTACATTACTAACAACTTGATATTACCTATACTGAATATGATTTGGGGCCACACATGAGTTCACTTAGGACTAGTAAGTTAACCACCGCTGTTTTTGATGTTTCTGTGCATGAACTGGAACATTTTAATATGTAGGATTTCTCAAATGTAGTATTGGGGTTTTATTATTCCACCACTCCCTTATCCATGTCTGAGTACTGTCGAAATCCATCTACAAGGTATCTGCACTACCATTTCCTTTCCCTAGGTGTCAGCCCCACATACATTTTTAAGAAACATCAGAGGCTACAGCAATACTGGTCGGGCGATTAAGGACTTTCAAACAGAGTATTGGAATGTAAGATGAATATCACATCACAATGAACCCCCTCTCACTGCATAGATGTTGGCTGGCGGAGTTCAGGTAACTTTCTATTCTGCCATCAGTTCTTATAAATGTTTATTTTCTTACTAGATAAAGTCATTAAGGAAAGGAAAGAATCGCTCAAGGAAGAGAAAGAGCTGGAGAAAATCCTTCAGAAGAGACACTTGGACTTTCTTGACATTCTTCTCTGCGCTAAGGTAGTTTAGGGAACCTGTTTAATAGCTGCACTTGTCCATGGTAGAAAGGCATTGCTATGATGAATACATTTAAATTTGTGCCATTATCTTGCGGAGGTGTGCGAGTAGAACCATGTGAACCAAACAAGGTTGGTGGTGACTAGCTGTAAATTGCAACTGGGTTGCTAACAGGAAGTCTGTTGCGTGATACAAGTCAACTATCTTCATATTCAAACTATCTTCATATTATAAAACATATTTTTCCTTTATGCAGGATGAGAATGGTCAGAGTTTGTCGGATGAGGACCTGCGTGCAGAGGTGGACACTTTCATGTTTGAAGGCCATGATACGACAGCCAGTGGGATCTCCTGGGCATTATACTGTATGGCCAAATACCCCGAACACCAAGAGAAATGTCGGGAGGAGATCAGAGAGGTCCTGGGAGATCGGAACACTGTAGAGTGGTAAGAATTTGTCTTTTTTTATGTTGTGTAACAGTAGATCGGGATTTTAAAAGAAGTGTGGGGAAATCTTTTCTACAGAGCCAGATACACAGGAGGATCGCTTTCCTTGCAAAGCAATCCTCCCAGTCCATGCTTTCATCTTCTCCCAGTCTTATTCTGGGTTTGGAGTTATATGTCATCTTGTTCCCACATGTATTTATATATGTTTTTATAAAGAGTACAGATTTCATATAAAATGTGTATCCTTTCTGTGTGTGATCAGGGAGGACCTGGGTAAGATGCCGTACACCACTATGTGTATTAAGGAGAGCATGCGCCTGTATCCACCTGTGCCAGGAGTGGCCCGCGAACTCACCTCACCAATCACATTCTGTGATGGGCGAAGCTTGCCTAAAGGTTAGTAATTGTTTCTCTTTTCCCTGGAATATAACTACTTGAATCTGTAATAGCTGAAAAATTATTTGTGTCCTTATTGTGCCCGCAGGTATTCATATAATGCTGAGTTTATATGCTATCAACAGATGCTCTAGCTTGTGGGACGATCCAGAGGTAATGATATATTTTCGGTTCTATTGGACAATCCATATCAGGGGAGTAACCAAAATCAACACACAGCACTTCATTGCATAATCTGAAGAGAAGGCAGATCTCATATGATTTGGTAGCGCTGACACTTGCCCTGGAGATTCAGGAGAAGTGTACATTTTCATTATAGATCCACATTAACCCTGCGCAAAGTTTTTTTCTTCACTACAATCAGGGCCAGATTTCCCACAAAGCCAACCAAGGCCCAGCCTTGGGGCAGCAGGGAGTAGAGGGGCAGCAGGCTTGTGGAATTCCTATCTCCTGATGCCAGGGACATGCAGTTCCGGGCATCGGGCTGGTAGTTGTTTTCTACATTTAGCCCTGCTTTGGACAAGCAGAGCTAAATGTACAGCGGGGGAAGCCGCCGCTTGTTTTGTACAAGTGATCCCGGCGATGTCGCCGAGAGCACTTGTATGCAGCCATCTTCATGGGGAAGGGGGGGTGTTTGGCGGGTAGGATGACGCATTGAGGAACCTGGCCTTGGGGCAGCAGAGAGAGTTAATCCGACCCTGACTACAATTATAGTTTTTATCTGACTGAGTTGTATGCTTACTTGGTGTGTGTCTGTTTATATCATTTTATGCTTCTTTAGTTTATTGCTTGGACAAGGTTCAGAAATAGTACTCTGTGTCACATTCAAACTGTGCAGCTCCTTCAAGTGGCCAGAATGATAAAACATTGATGGGTATTAGACAATCACTAGTGCAAATGATCCAGCAAAGCATCTCGCTTTGCTTCTCTGCTTTGCTGTATTTGAAAGGGAGAACAGTGCAGACAATGGTTTATTTTCTAATATAAGAAAGTGTAATGGTTTTCTATAGGAGAATTGAACAATAACTGTCTTTCTTGCTTTCAGGTATTTGATCCATTGAGGTTTTCACCAGAAAATGCCTCAAACAGACACTCGCACGCTTTCCTCCCTTTCTCGGCTGGATCGAGGTATCACTAGTGCAGCAAATACTATCTAAACTATATACTTTTATGATATAATCAAACTAAAGTTGCCCATGGATATGAGAGATGCTCAATCTGGGTGCCCAGTCTTTGGGATAGGAAGGGCTGTCACACAGCCACACTAGAACACCTAAAAGATTGCTACTGGCACTGTAAGCCTGGAATATGCAGTCTATGCAGACGGTGGCCAGCACCACTTATTACAGGGCAGAGACATTGCTAGGGTCCTAAAAGTCCCTGGACACACAGATGAAAATGTTGTGGGGCTTTTACAATAACATAAAGAAAAGAGGATTTTTCTTGTCCCCTTTAACTCTTCTCTCTACCTACTCTTGGACACCTTTCCTGTCTTTGGACAATTTCATATGTATTGGCACTCGCTTCTTTAGTACTGAGCCTTCAGTGCTATGGCTCTCCACTCACAGTGTGCAGTACAGGTAAACAAAACCAAATCATTTTAAAGAAAATGCCCAGTTTTCTAATTTACTGCATAATACATCCAATATAGTCCTAAGGAAAAATGCTGTTAATTGTAAAGGTGAGAAAATGAGTGCAAGATACAAAAAATCCCTACTTTCAACTTGCACAAATAGTATCTCAGTGTCTCAGCATATCACTGCCGTAGAGTTTTTGAGAAAACAGTTAGACAGTCTGAATATCTAGGATGAGTGCTGAACAAATCCTGGAAACCAGATAGTCAATGTGCCTAAAGAATTGCACCTGAGGCTATATTTTTACTGTGTTGTGTTCTGTGGTTTTGGTATTTTTGTCAAGGCATCTTCTAGAATATGTTGCTCAGGGCCTTGTCACCTAACCAGGCAGACTCTACCGTGTGTGCTTCTAAGCTCCACGCCAACATTTTATGCATACACTAGTCGGCGCTAATGGGGAATTCACATTTTCTTCAATCTATATATCTTCTTAAGAGGGAGGCAGCCAAACAAATCCGACAAGGAAATCTTCCAGGACACGTGGAAACAAACACAAGGACAGCACCTTCTCCTTGTGAAGTATATCAAATTTATTAGTAATAAAAGAAAAATAAAATGACTCACAAAAAGAGTTGATCATAAGTGCATAACTGTACTGGTGTCCCGCATCCAAACTTCAAGCGATGCAGCAGAGAAAATCAATAGACTGGCAGCAAGATATTCCTATGGATTGGACCTACCATGACCAAACTTCAAACGCTAAGATTTGTCCTGCATTCATTTGCAAGAACTGGGATAACTGGGTATGACAAGGTATGCCTAGAAGAGGACCCCCTTGTAATCCCAGGGCAATTTTACGTAAGGCATTAATGAACCAAGAACTCAGAGAAGCTACCTTCTACTGCCTTCCACTTAACAGAGGCTTGGGATCTCCTTGTTACCCAGGTGCTGCAGAGAAATTGGCGTAATTACAGCCAGGAGAGAGTCATCTAACACGATCCCCACTGGATAGCTAGTGGGCCCTTACGCAGCATTCCCTATACAATTCTGCTTATGATAATACTCTCAGCTATGGCCCTTGTGTAAAGGTCAACATTACTATAAAATTATATTTCAGTGATTGGTGGATACTGCTGGATAGAATCACATTTTTGCTTCTTATAAAACCTTTTAGACACCATTTGTGAGATTTCCCCTACATCAATTTGTGTCTCCATCCCCATAAGATGATTCAGAATGTATCACTTTATTGCAACTGAACTACCAAAATATTTATTTATTGGACAATATGGCGCATCCTCTAGGAGAATGTGACCATCATCTGACTTTGTAATGGCTGTGGCAGTTGGGTAGAATGTTCATAGTGATTTATTATCCATTGATTATCGAGAAGCCAGCATTTGATTATACTCGTATATACTCGAGTATAAGCCGAGATTTTCAGCCCATTTTTTTGGCTGAAAAGTGCCCCATCAGCAACCAGAAAAACTGAAACATCAGCTTTGGATGGTGTTGCATTTTAAAAGTAACCCAGAGCAGTCAATCAGCTATCATCTTTCAGTGTACCATCTACTTTAAACCATCCAGGGGAACATCTGATTGGTTCCTCTGGGTTCATGCCCTTTGTACATCCTTGTTGGCTAAAGAGAACATGTTGAATAGCAGGTGCCTTATTGGACTCATAGGCATTCCCAGGCCGACTGTCACCCAGAGTGGCCTCCGGGACATCATCATGCGCGTGTGTGACATCCTCACGCGCGAACAGGATGTCATCTTGCATGCGCGAAAGGACTTCATGCGCACTTAACTGTCGGCGGATATCTTGGTGATGGATGCTGGCAGAGAGAAGAGGGGTTGTTCATCCAGCAGGACAAGCTAGTTTTCCGGGTCCCCTCGTCTTCTCTCATACAGCTGTCGGGCACTCTGTTCATGACCGAGTGCCTTACTTTTCAGGGGGTGACACCAAAATGACTCTGATGGTGTCACCCCTTGTGATGCCACTGATTGTACTGACCTTGACACCTTTTGTTGCAGTGCCCACATTCCCCTTAGAAAACATTTCACAAGGCTTACTGGATTTGGGAAAGTACAGTAGACATCTTCTCTATGTGACAATTTTGAGTGCCTGAGTGTCCAGACAACCAAGGCCAAGCACTTCCACCTGTGGGGTTGGTATTTGCATAGAAAGTGGGTAGGGTTTAGCAGTGTAGGGGTTATTCTAACAAGATACATATGATCTAGTCCCTTTTTAGCACACGGCTAAAACCATTAAATTTCACTTCAATAGGTAGGACTATAGTATCACAAAAACTAACATGTCTTTATCCCTCTTTCCAGAAACTGTATTGGACAGAATTTTGCGATGAACGAGATGAAGGTAGCTCTCGCTCTGACATTACAAAGGTTTGAATTATACCCGAATAATGGACAGGAACCCTTAATACTTCCTCAGTTAGTCCTGCGGTCCTTAAATGGAATACACCTGAACCTGAAGAAAATAGACCCTCCAAAAAAAGCATAAGTGTAATTTCATGAACTGTCGACCATTTGAAATTTTTTTTAAATAATCCAAACATGGAAAATTATTGTAATAAATATTTCTGTAACCAATTTGATCATAAAGTGCACATGTTTCTGTAAACTCAAATCTGACTGGTTACTTTAATTATTTATTGGAAGGTTTAGTTTGCTGTTTTTGTAAATCAGTCCTGTTGCTTATAGATATTGGAGTGCTAGAGCACAAGAGTCCAAAAGCTGGTAGAACTTCTGACTAAATCAAATGATTGTTATAGTCTGGCAGCTCTCTACTAAATGGTGGAGCCTCCATGGGGATCCTAGGAGAATCAGCTTGTATGGAGTGAAAGGATGAGAGCGCTAAGCCATAGGGATTGGCATAAATATACATTTTTTTTGTCCCCATAAAATGGTCTCTCAACAGCCTACACTTTTCTGGGGTCTGGGGTCATAAACAAAACCTATTTACACAGGGCTGTCGGTCTATGGGGAATTGGATGTAAACAGACATGTGTCCAGTTACATCAGATTACCCCCGAACCGGCACAATCAGGTCCAATGGAAACAAAACTCTCTTCCCTTTATCTTTCTGCACCTGGCTGGAGTCTGGGATAACAAGTTGTAAATAGATGCCTGCCCATTTAGACCCAGCTGCCCATAGAGTAGCATTGAGCATCAGATGGGGTTTGACTGAAAAATCTACAGGCAATCTTGATTGTGCTGCCCTTGTGAAAGGGGCATCAAACTACAGGCCGCAGACTCAACCCTCTGTTTTTGGTTTTAGAGGTTAGTTGCCAAATACCTCCTCATTATTCCAGCCCCTCCTGCTGGCTTTGGACAGGTAAAACAGATCCTGGATGTGTTTATGCTGTGCTGGAATTTTCCTTTAGACTATGCTGGGGCTCATTAATGAATCAGGGTGGTGAACAATAAGCAATCCGCAGCAACCAAACTTCAGTTGTTGTTTTTCGATTATTCTATTGCTGGCCACAAAAATTACAGAGACAAGTCAGATATCCATTCACAAAAAGATATGCAAACATTTATATATATATGTATTGCTTCTGATTTTTTTTTTTTACAATATGTATATATATATATATATATATATATATGTATATTAAAGTATGCATACTTATACAGGCAATGTCACTGGACCAGCCAGACCGAGGGTCTTTTTGGCTGGTCCGGCTGTCCTTTCTCTTCTCCTCTTAGAATTAGAATGGATATGTCTTGTAAACGCTCTCACACAATGATAAATGAGTTCAATTATTTTCAGGAGCACTGTGAACCGAGGCTGGCATGATGAAGTACCCCCATGGGTGGGTCCATGACAGCCTGGGCTCACAGTGAACGCTTGATTGACATTGAACTCAGAAGAGGAATGCCATCTGGGGGAAAAGTGGACCTTCGGCTAAGGAACAGTGCTGGATTGAAGATGAGTTTTTTTATTTTCTCTAATACTGCTGGACTACATACTTTTTTTTAATGGGGGTCTGCATTAATTTGACTGTAAATGGCTGAATAGCACAAATGTCCTCAAGTCTGTAGGCTCTCTCCTAAGTTATCTTTTCAGATCATCTACACTTACAAATAATCTCAATGGAGGGAGAAGGAAGCAGTGGAGCATGGGATGGCCTTGGCTTATCAATGGAGGACCTTCGCTGTTCCTTTTTAATAGCAAGAAGACATCATGGGGAACACCTAAAATGTGCAACTGTCATTGGCTTTAATGTTTATGAAATGCATTCTGATTGGTTGCTACGGGCTAGTGCATTTTACATATCTCTCTTTGCCTCAATGAAGCCTGAGATTGTAAAATATACAATAACATTCATACATGGGCCTGTTAACGTAAATCCACATGTAATCAAGTAGGATTATTTTTACTTACAACTTGAAAAAACAATATTTTCTAAAATATCATCCAGCTTGTCATCTAACAACACTATGATTTATAGCTAAGAAAACCCCAAAGATTGTCTTTCTAAGTATTGTATCACATAAGGTTAACTCAGTTTGTGGTTGTGTTTATTATTTCCTTTGTTCACTGAGATAATTCACTTACATATTTCACAATCTCTGCCCTTTGGAGGCATGAGATTAGAAAAGAATTCCGTTGAACTTTCCGCTTTTACCTGCAGTGCATTTTGAAAAAGGTTGTGTACATGACTCGGACTTAGAAGTAAGTAAGTCAAAGACAGTAGTATGCTCTCATACTTTTGAGTGTTTTTTTATTTACTTTTGAGTCTCTTCAGTTCAGTGGCGTCACCAGGTGGTTGCGAAGGGTGCGGCCAGCACAGGTGACACCGTCAGAGGGGGATGACAAGGCGTTCCTAGGGTGTTCCTAGGTGGGATGCATTTGCATGCAGACCACCCTAGGTAATGCCCACATGTGATGTTAAGCATTCATGATTACAAGAACTGAAATCCAATAAATAAAAGGCACAGGCACAGGCCAGGGACAGTCTGGCTGGGGTGGAAAGAGCTATGTTAGTGTACAGGACGCCATGTATATGGTACGGCGACCTGTTGGCAAAAACCAGGGAGTGTGTGGCATAGTATGACAAAGAAAAAGGCAGAAAATAGTCTGTGGATTCTGTTGTCATGACAGCCGAGGAAGAACAACTTGCAGCAATACTCTGAAGGTGATATGTTTCTTATATTGACCAAAAGATAGAAGGGGCTTAATGCAGTGACATCAATTTATGCCAAGAAGAATGATGATTTTAATTATTTGGGTTTACAAACCGTTGGGGCTTCACTTATAAATGTTTGTCATGGCACTAGTCCCCCTAGGTGGTAAAGAGAAGTATGGGAAACTCCTATACTTGTTAGTGCCATCTAGGGGAGCTAGTGCTGTGAGAATGACATTCGCCCAGCATTTTATAAATTAACCCCTTGGTGAGTTCAGCTTTGGTCCATCAATATAGTGCAAATGTGAAGTCTTTTCTTTTTTATTTGCTTTTCAGGACTACCATATAGGTTTACCTTTTGTTGTCATATACCCGTCATATTACCTTTTTGTTCTCATATATTATTATTATTATACAGGATTTATATAGCGCTAACAGTTTGCGCAGCGCTTTACAATATAAAGCGCTGCGACATTACAATCACAATACAATTAAAGACAAGATGGTAAGGAGGGCCCTGCCCTTGAGGGCTTGCAATCTAGAAGGGAGGGGGAAGTGATACATGAGGAGGTAGCTGTGTGGGGATGAATGTTTGAGAATGTGATGGTTGAGAGGTTAGGTTGAGGTGGGATAGGCTTTCCTGAAGAGATGAGTCTTTAGGGATCGCCTAAAGGCAGTCCTAAAGGCAGTCAATAGAATGCAATGACAAATACTATTATTTAGTACACCCTTAAAACACTCCAACTTCTCCTCTGTGTTCTCTGTTAAGAATATTTGGTTCCATTTAGTATCACATGACTGAGAGGGTTGTTGCCTTTTTTCCCCAATTAAGAGTTCTGGTTCTGAAAATAAATTCTATTATTCTGATAAATATTTATCAAATCTTTCTTTTCCATAAACACTACACCAAAATTAATTTAAGTGTACATAAGCACAACATACAGATGGTATTTGTGTCCAGTAAATAGATACCACATACACTATATCGCCAAAAGTATTGGGATGCCTGCCTTTAAACGCACATGAACTTTAATGGCATCCCAGTCTTAGTCTGTAGGGTTCAATATTGAGTTGGCCCGCCCTTTGCAGCTGTAACAGCTTCAACTCTTCAGGGAAGGTTGTCCTCAAGGTTTAGGAGTGTGTCTATGGGAATGTCTGACCATTCTTCCAGAAGTGCATTTGTGAGGTCAGGTACTGAAGTTGGACGAGAAGGCCGGGCTCGCAGTCTCCGCTCTAATTCATCCCAAAGGTGTTCTATCGGGTTGAGGTCAGGACTCTGTGCAGGCCAGTCAAGTTCCTCCACCTCAAACTCGCTCATCCTTGTCTTTATGGACCTTGCTTTGTGCACTGGTGCGCAGTCATGTTGGAACAGGTAGGGGCCATCCCCAAACTGTTCCCACAAAGTTGGGAGCATGAAATTGTCCAAAATGTCTTGGTATGCTGATGCCTTAAGAGTTCCCTTCACTGGAACTAAGGGGCCAAGCCCAACCCCTGAAACACAACCCCACACCATAATCCCCCCTCCACCAAACTTTACACTTGGCTCAATGCAGTTATGCAGGTACCGTTCTCCTGGCAACCGCCAAACCTAGACACATACATCGGATTGACAGACAGAGAAGTGTGATTCGTCACTCCAGTCCAGTGGCAGCGTGCTTTACACCACTGCATCCGAGGCTTTGCATTGCACTTGATGACGTAAGTCTTGGATGCACCTGCTTGGCAATAGAAACCCATTCCATGAAGCTCTGTGCACTGTTGTTGTGCCAATCTGAAGGGCCACATGAAGTTTGGAGGTCTGTAGCTATTGACTCTGCAGACAGTTGGCGACTTCTGCGCACTGTGTGCTTCAGCATGCGCTGACCCCGCTCTGTCATTTTACATGGCCTACCACTTCGTGGCTGAGTTGCTATTATTCCCGGTTGCTTCCACTTTGTTATAATACCACTAACAGTTGACTGTGGAATATTTAGTAGCAAGCAAATTTCACGGAATGCCAATGATTTGGAGGGGTGTCCCAATACTTTTGACAATATAATATACATTGCCGAGCAAAGAAACAACTTAAGAACATTACTTTTGGCATGTATCCGCACAGACTGAGTGTTCCCAGATATTAGCAGGGTGAATATGCTGTAATGAAAAAAATTTAAATAATTTGGCACAAACCGCTTCTGGGGTTTGAGGATGGCTTTGCAATAATCCATGACGTTTTAGAAGAATTTGTAAAGTGCAGACATGTTCAATGTTTGTGGTTTCGCAGTAGTGGTGAACTCTGATGACTCTAGGAGGAGAGCGGCTGCATCCCGAAGGACCCTCTAACCCACCCAGAAGTGTCAGATGTTCCATAAGAATATTTAAGATAGGAAGGTAAAAAAGGTGACATTTTATATTAAGGGCCTGATAACAGGTTCAGTGTATTACCACGTGCACATTAATGAGCCAAATTTTGCAGGTTATCATTGGTTGCAGTAGCCCATTCGATTTGCAATAGTTTGCAGCACTGCTGCAAAGAAACTCTTACGTCATGGCAATATGACTAACAAGAAACTCTCACACACATCTATCACCAACATTTAACTGTTTTGTCATGTTAATGAAGCCAGCAATTTATTAATTTTGTGGTGTCATAATGACAGGGTTACTCAGCTTGCTTTCTACAAAAGAATGTTATCAAATAATAAAAATAGCCAAATCACACATATGATTGATAATGATATGATTGTATATTACATATAAAGTACAGTGACAATACAGCACCATCACACAAATGATATTCTTAGTTTTTCTGTGGTATTTTCTTCAGATATACGTGGATACCATTTATAGATCGTAGAACTAGCTGGGGGAGTTTCTTTGGCACTTTCTCAGGGTCCGGGCTCACTTGAAATCTCTGTAACGTCAATGCGAGGGCGACTTTCATCTCATTCATAGCAAAGTTCTGTCCGATGCAGTTTCTGGAGAGTACAATGCAACAGGCATTTAATAATCAGCTATAAATGTAACCCAATAAAGAACACATACTGTACATACTGTAGTGGTGGCCATTTTGTCATGTTAGCCAATATTCTCCAGAAAGCAGCCAAAAGGGTCAAACCCCTCCCATATGACATTGACAGTTTTAGGCACCAGAAGTAGCTGTATGTACAAAGTACAGACTAATGGTCAGATTTCAGTTCCATGAATGGGAGGACACACTGCCTTCTGGGGGTATCGCTATAGTCCTACCACAGGGATTCCCTAGGCACTTAGACAGAAATATTGTATTGCTGTTAGCATAACACAATAAAAATGGGTGAGGCTGCCCCCCTCTTATGCCATCTCTGTCCTCTACGTTCTCATTTCTGACCTTTCCTGCTGCAATGACTTAGAAATGAGCCATTAGTACCCATGCCCTTTGCCGACAGGACACTAAGGACTTAGATACTCAAAAGTAGCTAGCAGCTCCACCAAATCCGCTACACTTTTTATTGTATCTACTTCGTAATGACTTTCACTGGTAACCGTGAGTGAAGAGTACTTGGTACTTCTATATATGAAGTACCATGTGACTTACTTCCCTTCCTTCCAATGACAGCACTGGTACTAGGTGATTGCTTGCTCAGACACTCATCACATGATGGGGATCCCCAATTTTTGTGACTAGTTGTGACTTGGAGCTTACTTTGCTCCCAGCAGGTGAACAGGTGAGGGAAGTACTTTTGTTAAACTGTGGCAAAGTAAAGGCTCACTTTAAATGAAGCAATAACACGTATTAAAAAACAGATAAACTGTTCCAAAAGACTATTGTACAAATAATCTCATTGTTAACCAATGAGTATCCACCTACTAGGAGAAGGAGAAACATGTATTTGAATTACAGGGGTACATAGAAACCCAGTAATTCTTAAAAAATGACCTATTCTCTCCCAAAATCACCCTCCTTATGCCTATCCTGGGAACCATCTCCAAAGCCAAAAGGTACATCTACAATTTTTACTCCTGGCAGCCTGATCCAAGAAAATTTGGAATACCCAAACTATGTTGAAATGGATCAGTGAACTTTTACATATACAACACAAGGAAGCACTGTGTCTACCTATAACATATATGCTATCTTCAGGACCACGTGGAGCATCTGGATCATTTTTTAGGCCACTAAAGACAGCTAATAATGTCTAAACACATCAAATTGAGCTATCATCAACCCTTCGATTCCCCTCCTTCCTGTTTGGGTTCTTCTTTACTCTCCTTATCCTTTCAGTCAATAAATTGCCATGCCCTGTTCAGGCCACCTTTCTATTTCCACTTCTCGCTCATTCCACATAAGCACTATACACCTTCATACCTAACCTCTCCAAACTAAAACATAGGGATGCACTACTTTGTATTCTTTCAAACTATTTGTTACTAATAATTACATCAAGTTGCAATCATTTCATGGTCATATCAATATTGTGTTTCTCAGTCTGTTCATGCCTTATTGTGATCCATATCTATTATACTCTATTTTTTACTATAGTCTGTACAATTTTCAAATGTCTTTTACTCTTTAAAAAATACCATATTCTCTGAGATGCACCCAAATTTCGGCTGCCGAAACATATTGGATGAAAATGGCACTTTTGGCAAAATGCTGAAAGTGCTATCTTTCGGCCGAGATTGCGGTCCATGCCTGGTTTCTCTCCTCTCCGCTTGATGCTGCTCTGTGTCCCCTCTGACACAGGGTAGCATCCAGCAGGGAGGAGAGAAACTGTCAGAGGAGGCCAAGCGGTGCGGGGGAGAGCGTTGTGAGCAGCAAGTGTATCACAGGAGGTCGGGGTCTCCTTCCGCACCACCAGAGCAGTGTGGGGGGCAGAGATAGCTGTCAGTTGTAACAGGAGTCTGAGTTGGCAGCGTGGGGTAGAAGTCAGCTGTCAAAATAGACTAAGCTCTCCCCCCCATAACCACCCGCTCTTAAAAAGGTTAGAAAATAATGAATTTTCAGTTTCGGCTTGATATTTTTTTTATTTTTGGTTTCAAAATTTAATTTCAGTGCACCTCTAATATTCTCTAAATCATTAAACGATTCACTAAATGATCAAATTAAATTCTGGTGACTAATGAGAATTTCAAAAAATGCATTTAGGAACTTTCAGAATTAATATAGAGCAGGGGTAGGCAAACTCCAGCCCTCCAGCTGTGGTGCATCTACAAATGCCATTATATATTGCATGACTGACAGCAACAGGCATGGCTCCCAGAGGCAAAAAGCTGGAGGACCAAAGTTTGCCTACCCCTGATACAGAGCGAGGCTCCATACCATTTTAGAACCAATTTTCAGCATAATATGCATGGTTACATGAGATGGCAGTAAATAACATATTACTTCAGATGAGAGCGGGGACCCTCGGTAAAAGATCTGGGGCATGTACATTGGGTGCCAGGGTCTGCTACCTTTACTGCTGCACAGGGGCTCCAAAGAACAGGAGCACCCAATGGTGCAATGGAGGAGGAACCCAAAGCTTCAAATGATGTATGTTTATACTGTGAAGAGATAGAATACCAAAACTCTCTGATGGCACATGGGCAGGCATATTATCTCTAACAATGGTGTATCTGAAGCAATTGGGATACATAATTCACACATGACAGTATGTAACAGGAAATCGAAGAAATGCTCAAAACAGACATCAAGAAGAAGGAGAGGCATTCAGGCAAAAGGCCATGTAAATGGGTCAATGGTTGTTAGCATTTTATAGGTGTCCAACCTAACCTGCTTTTCTTTAAAATATCCTCTAGAGTCTATGTACGCCACTGGTCTATGTGATAGAACGTTTGTAAAAACAGGAGAGAATTAATAGAACATGTGCCTGATCAAGTCATACTCACCACAATACTGCCTACAGTAGCGAAATTCAGGTTTCAAATATAATTCACTGCATTTACATTGTCTGGCACTGGTAGCCAAACATTCACTGCTTCTGTCTCTTGATATGACAATCAGCCATTAATTATAGCCAGTTAGTAGATTCGTACAACTTTCCCCTAGGATTCATACATTTCCCTAATTGGCTTCAATTGAGAAATGTTTGAATCTTGGGTGGAAGTTGTATAAATCTAGTGTGAAAACATTCAAAACTCTCCAGTGCGTGTGAAATGATGGAAAATCGACCATCAGTAACATTTTGTGATACACCTATTGTTTCTTGCCCTTAAAAGAGATGTTGGCACCTGGGAAAACTTGACAGCAATATATATAAAAGTTCCCATATTGTAAAATCAGATATATACCTTGATCCAGCTGAGAAAGGAACGAAGGCATATGAATGTCGGCCAGAGGAATTCTCTGGTGAAAATCTTAAGGGATCAAAAACCTGAAAGCAAAAAATAAATCACAATGTGTGTACCATTTTATACTTATCTCCAGCAACGTAAAATACCGAATAGGACAAAAATACAAAGTTTGGAACACTAGTTAAGAAAAAGAGCGCCTATGCAGCACAAAAATGGCAGTGTTATCACAGTTATACTTTATGTATAGCCTAAACTTTTTTTTTTTTATAGAATGTGGTGTTTTGAGTTTTAAATAAATTACTGTGGGTATCACTGGATAAAATAATGAATAACAAGAGGATAGAATAAATTACTGTGGATATCACTAGTTAAAATAATGAATCAGAAGAGGATAGAATACATTACTGTGGGTATCACTGGATAAAATAATGAATAACAAGAGGATAGAATAAATTACTGTGGATATCACTAGTTAAAATAATGAATCAGAAGAGGATAGAATACATTACTGTGGGTATCACTGGATAAAATAATGAATAACAAGAGGATAGAATAAATTACTGTGGATATCACTAGTTAAAATAATGAATCAGAAGAGGATAGAATACATTACTGTGGGTATCACTGGATAAAATAATGAATAAGAAAAGGATAGAACAATCAATACATGTTATTATTATACACACTAAAGTAGCTCAACCTTACCTCTGGATTATCCCAGATACTGGGGCATCTGTTAATGGTATATATACTCAAAAAAATCATAGAATCTGTTAGATAAAATAAGAACAAAGTTTGATACATTGTCTGTAAATCTCCGACCTGGGAGGGTAAATAATTATTATTAGATATTCATTCTTCAGTCGTGTAATGAGCCATATTCAGACAAAATACAACTTAACTTTTATTTAAAGTGCTCTTGTCACTCTGTTGTGTTGCCAATTCCTGGTTGCTGCAGGTATTCCGCACTTCCGGGTGTATGAATACCTGTTCCCCTGCCGCACACAGTGGTCCTTCCCACCACCTCATATGTCCTGTAGTGATGTATGAGCCAGTGGGAGGAACTACAGCGTGAAGTAGGAGAAACAGGTACTCACACCTGGGAGTGTAGAATACCTACAACAGCCCGAGGTCATCAGTGTAGCAGATTTTGAACACATGGGCCACTGAAAAGGTAAGTTTTCAGCATCTTGATTTTCAGGCTTTGGATATTTTACTTTATACCATGTAATGACAGGGTCGCTTTAAAGAGGAACTCCAGTTATTACCAAATTAACCCTATACTCACCAGCAGTCCTGCAGCAGTCAGCACATACCTCTCTTTAACCCTCCACACGGGTGCTAGAATGCCCTTTCGGTGTCCTCACGTCTAATGCAGATGAATGGACCAGCATTATATGTGATGACATCATCGAGGCTTAGATCACCGGAGCTCCGGGGAGAAGAGGTAGAGGGGACCAGTCAAGCAGCCAGGTGTGATCAAGTATCAGGTGAGTATATCTTCTTAACTGCTTGTTTTGGTCTACGGGCCTGGTTGTAAAGGTGCCCACACACTGTGCGATTATCGCACGATAATCGCGGGAAATCCCGCGATCGTACGATAATCGCAAAGTGTATGGCAGGCGTGCAACCGTTTTTACTGTACGGTCACACGTCTTTTGTCTAAGGAGCATGTTCGAAAACCAGCCGAAAATCTTACGATTTTCGGCTGGTTTGTGGCATGCTCAGCAGACAAATGCCGAACGGGCCGGTGTGCGCACGCGCACACTGCCCGTTCAGCATTTCGGTCATCGGAAGCCTGCCCCTCAGGGGGGCGGGCTTGCGATGATCGCAAGTACGATCTGCCTGTCCAAGATGGGCAGATCGTACCTTTTTTTAATGACTTTACAACCATCGCAAGACTGATGTCTTGCGATGGTTGTAAAGTGTATGGCCACCTTTACTCTTGCAATAATTTTGTTCATTCTTGCAGTATCTCCCTAAGAACTGTTACCAGCAATCAGAAATATCTATTAATATGTTATTTCAAGAAAAAAAATGAAAGTCAGCAAAGGAAAAATGAAAGATCTTTGGATAACACCTAACATGTAGAAGAAAGTACTGTTTTTTACCGCCTGCGAATATTAATACAAAATGAACACTGTTGTGGGAATTACTTTACATATCTGTATATTTCCTGTGGCATAGTCTAGGCACATTCAGCAGGCATAGGCTGGGAATATTTACTGTGGCATTTTCAGCTTATTCATTATGATATTCTGTCATCATACTAAGAGCAGTTAGCTGAAATGATATGGGTTTGGAAGTAACAATAAAACAATTTGATATGTTCACAGGCATGATGAGGACATATGTTCTCGGAGTGCTCTATGGGTAAACAGAACACACAATCTCAGTATATGAAGCATTTGGGATGACTGACCTTTAGCCAGGGTCCGCCCATCAGGGAAGGTGATGGTTGAGGCAAGCTGACGGGCAATTCCTGGCACTGGTGGATACAGGCGCATGCTCTCTTTAATACACATGGCGGTGTACGGCATCTTACCCAGATCCTCCCTGATCACACACAAATGTGAGACATGTTAAATGTTTAAAGCCCAAATGTTTAAACTCCTAGCAAGGGTGTGAACCAAAAAGGTGGCTCTGGCTGCAATACTCAACTCTTCCCCGGTGTTGTCCCCTGTGCTTCACCACAGTGACCTTCATTCATACACAGCAGCATTTCTCAACCTTTTTTCTGTCATGGCACCTCCTAAATGTATGCAAAATCTCGAGGTACCCCAGTCTAATGTAAATGTAACATGTAAAAAAGTAAATGTAAAGTAAAAATGAGGTGTTATATCCCCAAAATAAATTCCAGACCCTTAACCCAACAGGGGTCTGGTATGGGTTTTAAGGGGGGACCTCATCAAAGACAAAGAATGTGTCCCGCTTTACATCAAAAGCCCCCTTTAAGCAAAAAGTTTAAGGCACCCTGGTTGAGAAAGGCTGATATAGAGTGATGCACTCTGCATCATTGAGGACTGCCCTTCACTGGATAAGATCCAAAGGGTAGGAGGACCCTGCATGTCATGTGACCAGTCTAAAGAATTTTGTGAGGCAATTATAAAGAGAAAACAAAAGCTCACAGTGGGAGAGTTTCAAAACTGAGGCAATGCTGTCAATTCAGAAAGTAGTAGGCAGGACTAGATGTGGCCAGGTACTGACTGACAATCTATGAGCCTGTTAAATAACAGTGACAATGCTGATAGCCATTAGGGATGGACTTCGCGTTCGAGTCGAACCTATGTTCGACTCGAACATAGCATGTTCTAATGCTCGCCGGACGCCGAACATTATGGGATGTCTGCGGTCTGTTCGACCACGGGACATCCCACAATGCACTGCGCCGTCCGAAACGGTAATTGAATAATAGCCATGCCCCCTGCAACATTGTTTCATCCCACTGTAGTGCAAGCAGGCATGAGAGTGACAACTCTGCTCTGAATCCAGGAGCAGTGCAGCACCATTGCCACCACATAACATGATGCTGCTTTAGGTGGACTTCACTATCACCAGGTATTTGTGGGCCTTTGCAGGGAGACTAAAAGAAAACTTAAAGTGCAGATACATTTATAATAAAAAATGCTGCAGAACATATTTTATTTTAATAGGAGGCCATAGTTCTGCTTTGATATTACTAGTGGAACTTGTATCATCAACTATCCATCCTTCCCTGGTCTTATTCGAACTTTAAGAGGGCAAGGTGCAGTTTCAATTAGGGATGTTCAGATACCAGTCCAGATACCAGTGCCGATACTTGGCATTTACTAGCAGGGTTAGCAGAACTACCAGGGTTGCAGCGGTTGCAGCTGCGACTGGTCCCTGGCACTCCACCACTGTTCTGAAATCAATAGTCGATATTGTTTTAGAAAAACTGTCACATGACACTAAACAAAAATGTATCAGTACTTGTTATCTGTGAGTACTTGGACAAAGTATTGGTACTTGTACTTGGTCTGGAAAAAATGGTATCAGTTCATCCCTAATATAAATCGTGGGTTTATTGACCAACTAACGCCTTATATCTGGGATTCCTAGCTGTAAGCCTCCCATCCCAGAGTTACAAAGCCAAGTTTGGAAGTCCCAGTCTTCTGTTGCTTTCCCTGTAGTGGATAAATAGAGAATCCAACAACAAGGTGGCCCTGAGAAAGCATGTGGAGGGGTCTCCTCAACACAGTTCTGGAAAGATATCAGAAAACTGGGAGGCAATGGATATTTTAACCTTTAATCATCTGTACAGAACCTATCTTCAGGTTGTGATTGGCCGTAGATATTTATAGTTCACAGAAAACGTTTCTTTTTTTGTAGGACCTTATATTAAAACTATTCCTTGGATTTTTAAATAACATGTTCTCACCATTCTAAGGAGTCCCGACCTCCCAGCAGCTCTCTGATCTCCTCCCGACATTTTTCTTGGTGTTCGGGGTATAAAGCCATACAATATAATAGCCAGGAGATCCCGCTGCCTGTTGAATCGTGTCCCGCAAACATGAATGTGTCCACCTCTGCACGCAATTCCTCAAAAGTCAGACCCTTACCATTTTCATCCTGATAGTTTACAAAAATAACATATTAGCAAACCTTCCAATATATTGTAATAAAATCTCAGGCCAAGTCAAAAGCCCTGCCCTAGTCCATACAGGTTCCACCCTCAAGTGACCAGATATGGGTCAGGAAAGACTTCTATAAATCTGCCCACAAGGCAGATTTAGGTTGGACTTGATGGACTTATGTCTTTATTCAACCTCAAATACTATGTAACTATGTATGTAACAAGGGTTGACTTTAAACTTCTATACATCTGCCCACAAGGGTTGACTTTAAACTTCAAATTCAGAGAGAATTCAAATGCAACATTTGAGTGAAGTTAAAGTGACATTAAACCCTCAGATTTTTTTACATAAAACAATACTGTAATGTGTGCCTTACTGTAATCCATGGTTGTTTCCCTTCTCTTTGCTTCTCTTCCTTTTAAATCTGTATCTCTTCTCGTGCTGGGCAGAACTTCTGTTTTGCCGCAGACTGCCTTGTCTCTGGAATGGATATATGGTGTCTGTGTTTTGGTTTGTAACCTGAGCCAGCACTACAGGAAGAGGCCCTGAGCTGCAAAGGGAAGTTCTCCCCCAGCATGAGAAGACATGAGGATTTAAAAGGAAGAGCAGCAAAGAGAAGAAGATCTTTTATTGAAGGCGCCATTTTATTCACAATGCACTGTATTTGTAAATATGCATACAGTGTGGAAAATAATTATTTGATCCCCTGCAGATTTTGCACGTTTTGCACCGTGGGAGGGGGTTGGGGGGTGCAAATAGCGGGTTTTACCTAGGGTGCAAAATAATCTAGCACCGGCCCTGCATGATGGGAGCAAGCAAGAGACTGGCTATAGTGAGGAAGCAACTCCATAGAAAAAAGTAAGTGGTCTGTTAGTGATATTGTCACTTGGCACTTGTCAATCTTGTGACATTTGCCTTAGGAAAAGTTCTTTCTTCTTTCCTGTCCCAGTTATAACTTTATGACCATGACAACCGTTATCAATGAGGCCAAAGGCAGAAAAAAAGTCTGACAGGTTCTAACCCCTTGACACTATACACTAAAATAAAAAATATATGGGATTACACTTTAAATGCATTTTTGTGTGTTCTTTACTTTATGAGATTCCAGAAAACATTTTATATAATTCATAATATCTAAAATAATTGTGGATAGTAAATATTATTGCCTTTAAGCAGAACTCCAGGTAAAAATGTTATTAACCCTTGCAGTGGAGCTACCCCTGCACTTCAAGGGATAAGTGCTCATTTTTGCCTACGGATAAAAATAACAAAGCCATACTCACCTGATTGTCCGAGCTGGCCGGCTGTCACAGCACCCCCTCCAACCTGTCTCCTCTTCCTCTGCTGCAGAGATGGTATGTCCCTCAAAGTCCTCACGTCCTATGCTCTGTGTATAAAACGTGATGACTCGGGGACCTGAGACCACTGCAGTGGAATTGGCGGGAGGCTCCTGGGACTGGTTTAAGAGCAAGCTGGCTTGGAGGAACGGATGAGTTTAACTTATTTATTTTATTTTTTTTGTAATTTTTCTTTAGTATTAGATGAATTGAAAAAGTACAGGCAACAACATGACATCTCCTTTGTAAAGCAGAAAAAAGAAGAAAATATACAAATCAGTAAAATCAAAAAAGGTAAGACTTGCCTACAGAAGAGCATGAAGGGATAACAGAAAGTGAGAAGCAGATAGAGGAGAGGAAGAACATATAAAATATGTAGGGAACATCAGAAGGACCAGAAGAAAGATAGAAAATAGGGATAGAGGAAGGCACTGGGAAGTCACGTCCACGCGGATCTGGCCGCCACAGCCCTTAACCGCAGGGTAAGGCCACACCAGCGACCCCCCGAAAGGGTTAATACATTTTTTACCTGGAGTTCTGCTTTAAGCTAGCCATACTTGAATAGATTTCTCTTATTGAGCCCCGGGGCTGGACATGGATAGAGGAATATCCCCTATCGCCTATTGTATTCAAGAAGCCGGCACCCAAAGCCGTCTGAATACATGAACATGTCTGACTGGATGCAGACGTTGTTTAGCCAACATTTTTTTACCCGGCCCACTGGATTTCTCGAATGATGTTTATGTTGCTGACAGAGCCACCCATGGCTCGAATTTTGGCTGATTTAGCAGGAATCGGCCCAAATCTAAGCAGTGTATAGTTCGCTTTAGTGTGAGGAGTGAGGACCAGTAAACACCAAAACAAAAAAATACATATCATATGCATTATGTGAAAGAGTTTCTTATGATGCTTATTATTATGCTTAGTAAAAGTTCCCCAAAACTGACCACAAATTGACCTTTATGTTACTTTACCTTGCAACCTATTACTAAAGCATATTGTTAGCTGCTATTGTGGGGTAAAGGAGACAAATAAATGACAAATGGCAGTTTTCTTTTATAGGGTTTCTGGGAAGAAAGGCAAGTGCGGGTTCGATAACCCTATCTTCACAATCGGAAAATGCTCCTCAACTGATTTCTATATAGCAATGTGCCTTCAATATGTCCTGAGATATTCACCAAGAACAAAAAAGCAGGTCAGCAAAGTCCGATGCCCTTATCTCCACACTTCTTCCTCAAAGGTTTGAGGCAAGAGGGTTAGCATTACAGCCTATACATTTTTGCAGTATGGAAAGTCAAAAAGGGCAGCCCACCTTTCTTGGGAGAGGTTTCCTAAGAAAGAATTTTATTTTGATAATCTACTAAAATTTTACATATGTATCCTTGGATATTGTTAAAACCTTTGTTACAGGAACCATGGGATGAGAATGGTATCAAATGGTTCTTTCAGCTTGGATTTAATACCTTGGCAAACAGAAGAATATCAAGAAAGTCCAAGTGTCTCTTCTGCTTGATCTTCTCCAGCTCAGAATCCTCTTTAAGAGATTCTTGCCGCTTCTTGATCACATTTTCTGTATTGGATAAAACATGTTACAGCTGTTATTTCAATTAATATAAGTTCATGATGTTATAACATATGTGTTGTTAAAGTCATTTTTGAAAAAAAAAAATGTGGATATATCATAATATTAGAACAAAACAAAGTTGAATTGAGACGGAATCATTAGTGTAGAAGTTCGAGTGGAGATACAGTAAGTATAAGTAACACAAGTCGGTGCCCATATTTGGGTCAAACTTTATATGTACGCACAAGCTTCAGGCCTCGGAGAATGCGCCAATTAAAGGCAGTAACCCGTGGAAGATTCTATATTTCTGCCCTCAAAAGTATTTTATTTTATTATAAATTAAAAGTATAAATTAAAATTGCATATAAAATATTTTTCTATCCAATCCGTGACGGGTCATGTATAGGTTGTATGTACAATTTCTATAAATGTCCCCATATATATACCCTCAACTACCCACTGATCAGCAAGATTATTATTATAATTTTTAATTATTAATATTATTATTATTAGGGATACACCAATAGCGCTTTTTCCGTATAGAGTATGAGTATCTTTTTTTTCGGTACTTGCCGATACCGAGTACCGGTGCCATGTGCCCCGATTATCAGGAAGTCACCTGTCACACGGCTTCCTGATTGCCTGTTTCCTAGCCAATTAGGAAGCCGTGCAGCACGTCATGACCCGTCTCCCTAGCAACAAGTGAAGCCGGATTCATAACCCACCTCCCGGCTTCCTTTCCATCCCGCTCCATGCTCCCTCGGCACTGCCTGTCAGAGGGTGATCTCCCTCTGACTGGAAGTTCCATTTTTCAGAGGTATGTATCGGAGCTTTTGGATGAATACCAGTACTCTCCCAATTACTCGGTATCGATACCGATACCAGTATCGGTGCATCCCTAATTATTATCATTATTATTATTATACAGGATTTATATGGTGCCAACAGTTTACGCGGTGCTTTACAAAATGGATGGAGAAAGTACAGTTATAGGAGGGGCCTAATTGTGAGAGCTCACAATCTAGTAGGAGGGGATAACAATTGTTACAATTCTGAAACAATTCATCATTTTTGTTCGATAGCAGCTGTTTCTTGCAGTGGGATAGTGTACATTTCAAAGAGGTTCCCATTTCTTGAATCTTCTTCTTCAGGAGATATGGGAGATATATCAATGAGGTGTGCAACCACCCATATGCTGCATATACCTCTGACTAATTCACATTCAGAAGGGGACACATGAATATTCCCATTGAAAGATTTCCTCTTACTTCTTATTTTTGGGTCAACTCTCAAATTTGGTTTGGTTTTCTCCTCACTTGACTGCTGAGAATCATAGTTAAACACTTATTTTACATTGAAACTACTTTTGTTACCTTGTTGTTGCTGCCCTCCCACTGCCAATGAATACTAGACAAAATAACTTTGTTGGAAGGGCAAGGCCACAGCTTTATTGACGTATTATCATCATATAAAACATAACCCTTTTCTGTTTACCTTAAATCGTGCCATTCACGGATAAACTGTGAGCATGCAAACATCATGACTTTATAACACAATGCAGAAAATCTGTCTTCACCATCAGTTCTAGACAGATGTCCAACCATCAAAGAATAAGCTATCCCCCAATAAATAATTGATTGCGCCCCCTTATACAGGAGGGCAGTGGCGTCACAAGGGGGGTGCGGCCTGCACCCGGGTGACACCATTGGAGGGGATACCCCAAAATGACTCACAGTCATTTTGGGGTCACCCCCCTCTGAAAAGTCGGGCACTCGGTCCTGGACCGAACGCCCGACAGTATCAGGAGAGAGGAGGGGACCCGGCGGCAGACCTTATCCCACCGGGTGACTGTCCCCTCCTCTCTCTGCCGGCGTCCATCACCAAGATGGCCGCCGGCAGGTATCAGAATACTGCCGCGTGTGCGCGATTACGTCATCGCACATGGTGACTCACGCGCATGCGCAGTGACGTCTTGGCGGGGTGACACTCGGTTGCCGCTCCGGGCGTCACCCAGCCTCGGGACGCCCCTGCAGGAGGGGTCCATTTTACTGACCACATCCTCACTGCATGATTCCAGCAGTCAAAGCTCCTTCTCCTTACAGGTCACGGGATCTGCCATTCCCAGTTTCACTTTCTCAGTGACCATGGTCACCAATACAAACAGAGGGGACACAAAAAAAGTAACAAAGGGTCTAACCTTTCACCGCTCTATCAAAAATTTAAAAAAGTGTTTTGCCTAGACATACACTTGAAGGCAACATTTTATAAGCAAATATGGAGCCAATTTTCTTCTTGTGGCCATGTCCATGGAGGTTGGCCACACTTCTATGGATTAAACTTCTCAATAATATTTGCAGCTGTAGTCACAGGAACATGAAGTTGCTTTCAGATGATGTTATAGACTTTACCTTTGACACGCTGTTTACAATTTTCTTTTTGATTTCCCTAGAGAACTCTTACCTTTGCTTTCTTTGGTCCATGTTCAGTGTGGTTGACATGATAATACCAAACGTCAGAGTGATAATGTCAGGGACCAGAACACCTCCTGGTGGCGCTAGAGCAGATCCTGCATTTCCGCTAGAGCAGATCCTGCAACACCTGCTCACCTGCAGGTGTCTCCAGGCAGCCAGTGGTTGTCAGGGACGTGAGCGCCTCCAGGTGGCACTGTGACTGTGGAACCAGGACCTGCAGCTCCAGGCTCACCTGCAGGTGTCTCTGCAAATAGGCACCATCTGTAGCATTCACAAGTCGACACTTACCTGTGTGTCCATGAACTATTTTTAGTGCCTTCCGGAAGCGGTACCCATGAGGGCTCAGGTAAAAGATGAGATCATTATGGTAGGGGAAGAAGCGGAATCGGTGATTTATCAGATCGGCAAGCTCATATACAGCCTTGATGTATTCACTCTCACTGTAAGGAGACAAAATGAGAATGTCTATGGCGCCGTGAAGTAATCTCTTTCAGCCATCAGGAGCCCTCATAGCAAAATGAAATTTAATAGCCCTCAGAACATACTGACCTGTCATACTGGCAGTTGCTTTGGTTACTGAAGGCACATTGCATGAGGATGTCCAGTGTCATGAGGCTGACATGCTGGAACAGTTCTATAGACTTCTTTTCGGAGGCTAGATGCTCCCATTTGTCCTAGTAAAGGTCATGGAAGAAAGATTATATTAATGCCATCTATTTTTTGGGGAGAATAAAAACTTCTATCTGGTTTTTATTGTTGCCTGGTGAGATTTTCCTGTCCCTGTGATTCCAGGACAAGAAATGGAAAGTACCGTTGTCACCAGAACAGGAAGGCACAGACAACAATAAAAAGAGGGTCAGTTCTAACACTTCTTCACTCTATTTTTTTATCCTGTTCTGAAAGCAAGTGAGGGAAAATCCCACCGTTAGGGACACAGCAATGCAACCCTGACAGAAACTATAACCATTCCCAATACAACATAAAAATATTTTGGGTGTTGTTGGGCTTTACTTAAGTTCTGTTACTTTTAAAGTAAACTATTTATAACAGAAGCATGGGATTTTCCATACGTCTTGTCCCTCCCCCAGCCTGTGACTGGACAGCGAAAGAAAAAGCAGCTGACTGATGAGCTCATCTCTCTGTCACTCTGCTTGCTCCTTGCCAGCATGTTCCTGGTTAGTAGACATGTACACTACCAAAAAATTTGTTTAGTTTCGTTTCGTTCTGGTTCAGATTTTGTGTTATTTCGTGTTTCAGGATTCGGGTGTGAAAGTCAATTCGGATTCGGACAAAATTCGTTAGCGTTAGTTCGTTCGGACGTTCGTTTCTTATTCGTTTCGTTCGTTTGCAGCAAAGTGACATTTGAGGGGGAAAAATGTTTTTCTCCTTCTCTAATGTCACTTTGCTCCAACGAACAAATGAACAAACGAACGCACGAAACGAATAACGAAAACGAAACGAACATTCGAGCGAACTACCGCTAACGAAGTTCGGAAATTCGCATTCGTTTGCATTCGTTATATCTGTAATTCGGAATTTGGATACATCCGAATGTCCGAATTTCCGAAAATTCGTCCGAAATTCGTCCGCACATGTCTACTGGTTAGCACATAAGCACTGCAGCAGAACTGATTGGGTATGGAATAAGGGGTACAAGGAACCAATCTGAGTTTTGCAAAAGGCCGATACCAAGTTAAATACACTGCTTGCATTTAAAAAAATAAATGTAATCATATATTAATTGTTACATAGTGGAATTAATTTGTATCTTTTATATCTGCCTGAAGTTCTGCTTTAACTTATTGCATATCGTGTTCTGGGTCACCGACTCAAAGAATTTAAACTATTAGATTAGCATTACAGCCAGGGAACTATCATTTTTAGAAGGAGAGGTCAGCAATGGCAGCATTTGGTCATTCATTACAGGTCAGTTTCCCCATTTGGGAAAATGGTGGACAGCTCCTCACTTGCTCACCCTCTACAAGGACAGTCTGCATCCTAACACTGATTGCTCCTTACCAGCATCACATTAACGCTGTCTGACATCACTTTCACATATGGCTTCAGAACATCATAATGGAACCCCGGGGTCATCAGCTTGCGGCGCTGGTACCATTTTTCACCAGACAATATCACTATCCCTCTCCCTGCACAATGAAACACAGTAGAAGGATGTGAGCAAACGATGCATAACAAACAAATGTTAAATGTGCATGTTCAATACATACCAAACTGAAATTTCAGACTCAGTTGAGCTGAATAATCCACTGGCTCCTTTGATGTCTAAGAATGTTCGTGGCAAAATCTCCTCAATGCACCTTTCCAGATACTTCTCCCTGTATAGCTACTTGCTGCACATTTCTGTCTCATGATAAGCAAATAAATACAGTCCTCTCATACCAACTCATTCTAAGTGCTGGGGTTGGCAAAACAAGATACTGTTTTGTGTGGTAAAGAGCTGGTCATAGCACTTAGGGCACCAGAGCTCGTGGCCCTACAGGGTCCTGTGATGGAAACCTGGCTGATTATAGGTCTAAGCTTGCCTCTATCTCTACCATAGTCTCATGCTTCCAGCTGCATTGTCACCGAATGCAACATAAAAGTTCAACAAAAAGAATAAGAATCAGCCGGTGGGTGTAGCTAGGAATCCTGGTGCAAAGATGTCACCACGGAAGTCTTTGACTTTGAGAGATATAAGAATTTGGTGCGATGGATGTATGTATTCATTAAATATCATTTTTGGGATATAGAGATTGTTGTAAGTGTCATCTGCCAATAATTAGCAAACATGAAGGTACAGAAGGTTAAGCTATAGGAGGAGAAAATGATAAGTACAGGTATGCAGATGCTAATCTTACAATACATGATGATACATACATGTAAGCAGAGCTTAATCTTACAATAATTCATAAGAGAGTTGTTACATACCAATCCATGGGGTGATCAAGTAATAGGCAAAGTCATCCTTTGGATCTGTAAGAAAAAATATAGAGCGTGATAGTTCTGTGTACAGGTCATACGGAGCACTGAAAGGATTCAGACACCCTATTTGGGGTACAAGATGGCAGACCCTAATATAAATTAAACAGAAACTAAAGTTGTATTTTTGCATGTCTTTCCAAGTCCATCAAAGACATGTAGCGCCTCTTACCTTAACCACCCATCAAAGACACTGAGGGGAATTTATCAAAATTGGAGCAGACAAAATCTGGAGCAGCTGTGCATGGCAACCAATCAGTTTGCCTCTTCAGTTTGTTTGGTTAAGATATGAAAATGAAAGAGAGAAGCTGATTGGTTGCCGTGCACAGCTGCTCCAGATTTTGTCTGCTCCAGTTTTGATAAATCCCCTTCATGGTTTAGATCTTTTTATTTATATCATCTTTATGTCTGTGAAGGTTCTCATTCATCCAGGTCATGGTATATCTGTAAAAAATAAGTCAAGGCAACTGGACTTGCTGTATTTTTCGTGAAGACGTTTCACTGGTCATCCAACCAGCTTTCTCAATTCAGAATGACTTGTACAAATCATTCTTTGTACAAGTCATTCTGAATTGAGAAAGCTGGTTGAATGACCCGTGAAACGTCTTCACGAAAAATACAGCAAGTCCAGTTGCCTTGACTTATTTTTTACAGATATATAATCTTTAGTTTTATTTCAGAAGGCCGAGGTACAAGGATTGTAGTTTTATTTCAGAAGGTCAAGGTAAAAGGATTGTAGTTTTATTTCAGAAGGTCAAGGTACAAGTATTGTAGTTTTATTTCAGAAGGTCAAGGTACAAGGATTGTAATACATGAAGAGTAGAAGTAAGTACCGTTTAATCCATTTCTTGGAGTTCATTGAGAGACACAAGATTCAGAAACATTTGGGTTATACTACCACCTTTAAGTAGAATTGGACAGTGGCAAACAAATAAACAGTGACCAGCTTGGTATAATCCATCCCACTCCTAGCATGCCGTGCCGAGAACAAGGTCATAAACACGGAGGGTTGGGACCTGAGTTCCTCAGTAAACTCCAAGAAACTGAAATCTTATGATAAGTACAAAAATCCTTTTTTATTTTTTGTTCATTGAGCGACACAGGATTCAGAGATATTTAGGACATCCAGAAGCAATCCACTCAAAATGGCATCTGTGATTCAAAATGGCTTCAAGGTATAGAATATAAGGTTTGGCATATACATATATTCATATACTCATTTTAACCTTTGACATATGTGCTTTATTTTCATGAAACCTCTGCAAAAATGGGGCTTAAAACACGGTGACAAGTTATAGAATATGTAAAGTTCCAGACAAGTTTTGATCAAATCAAATTCACAAACATCAGATTATCAAGACTATTAAAAAAAGAAAGAAATCTGCTTGATGTATTTATGAAGCACAAGAACACCCATCTTATAAAAAGAACTGTGTGTGTTCATTTCAAGTGAAGACTAAACTTTTGCATAAATGTCTTTCTTAGACGTTTATGGGGTTACTCATTTAGCTGCCATACATCGGCTGCCTTTGGTCAGCTGAACATGTTGTGGTCCCCCAAAAGGCCGCAGCAAGCGCAGCCAAATCATTTAAAAAATGATTTGACCAGACCATGCCTCTTCCAGACTGGATCTCACTGGGCCCCCCTCAGCCTTAGGCCCTGGTGAAGCCTCACTAGCAGTCGGTCCGCCCCTGGCTTCCTGGTTTTTTAACCTCCCTGGCGGTATTCCCGAGTGTAGCTCGAGGTTACTTTTCCATACCATAAGCGGTAACCCCGAGCTACACTCGGGAAAGCCGCATAGCATTTACTCACCTTGTCCCTCGAGCCGTGCTGTGTTCTGCGGCCGATGCCGTCTTCCGGGTTCCGTTGCTTGTGAGCGTACGCGTCGCAGGGGGGCGAATCCGGCGGGATATTTTTAAAAAACGACAAAAAAAACGACAAAGACGAAAAAATTTCGAAAAAAAAAATAGACCAAAAAATGACATGAAGAAAAATAAAAATCATACCGCCAGGGAGGTTAACATTATGGGCATTACTGAGTTGGAGAGGCCCCTGTCCCTCAAGACCTGAGTTTCAACAACCATACCATTGGAGCCGGCGACCAGGAGTCTGTTCATTTCAGATTAACATATCCACCTGGGGCAGTCCAAAGCTATGAAAATCACTGGAATGCCCTCTATCTCCATCTTGTGAAGCATCCTTGATCTCTACAGAGGTCATTAAATCTCTATGATGAAGGGAAGCTATGACAGACCTGGGGGATTACATACAAAACTTATGGGACCAAATGAAGACATTTAGGGACTTGAGATCCAAGATGGGGCGAATGTTCCCTTTCAGTTTTGGAACTGTGAAAAGGGTTGAATAATATCCTTGAAATCTTTCTGATACAGGAACTGGGGTGATAACCTCTTGTTCCAAAAGACCATCCGAATGGTGACATAGGAAAGTTGGAAGACATGCAGCAAGTAAGGGGTTGGCAGCAGAACTTTAGATTGTTGCCCGTTAAACCATCTCACATACCCATGCATATGAGATGCTGTCTCTCCATATGTCCCCAAAGGCTAACACACATCCCCACACTTTCCATGCATAAAAATGCAGACATACCAATGTAAATGTACGGTGTGAATGAGGCACATAAAGAACAATTATTTTCAAAGCAACCCACGTTAACCTTTCCAAATCCTTAAGGCGTATTCATGTTTGTCCACTTTCATGCAACTTGTGAATGAAAGTGGACGACCAAAACTAATGCATTGCGCTGCATAAAATGCATTACAAATAGAAATCTCATTTTTTCCTATGTAGCTGGTTCACATCTATGCACTGCAGTTTAGTATATGAGGGAAGGGTAAATTCTCACGTATGCACGGGGGTTACCACACATGCTGCATGCATAGAGAGCAGTGTGAATCCAGCCTTATTGCATAACAGGTTATCATTTGTAATGCTTTAACAAAAAACAAAACACCTTCTTACCTTGTCTGGTTAGAATGGCCCTTGCATATTCTGGATGACAGACAAAGAGAGCAGCCAAGTATCTTCCAAACCACAGGGAATACGCATATTCAAATTTTCTCCCGTAACTAGCCAAATTGTCCAGATCTGTGCCATCTTGTTTCAGCTGTAAACAAACAAATAAAATACATTTATGATGATGGAGAAAATATGGTATGAAACAAAATCAACTCCAATGTGTTACATCATGCCAGCCTGACCAATGAAGAGGTCTAAGATGCTGAACCCAAAAGGAGACCTGGTGACCAGCACTGCGCTGGAGGGGATCACTTACAAGGTAAGTGACCCGTAATGTGCTCCAGAGGGCTTTTTTTTTTACTGCTCAACTTCTGCTTGAAGATAAAGTAGAACATATATCTTTTCTTATTTTGTGTTGTTGTTTTTTTTTTACCGCGCAATTAAAAAAGCAAATAAAACAAATATTTAAAAAATGTATGGCTTTAAGAAGTAGAAATAAACAAAAAATCATCAGGGAAATATTAGTTGAGTGGAGAAGGGGAACAATTAGTTAATTACGCAGGTTTAAAAATGACGTGCGTCCGTGAAACGGCAACAAAATTCAGTACCGCAAATTGTCCATAGACGACGCCTTTAAAAGTCCCTACAGGTCATCAATTTGGAGATACACATGAATATTGGCCCCAAAAAGTGATCGTCGTTTTCATACGTAGGTGCACCCGCTGCGTTTTTACAAGAATGCGTCTGCACGCGCGCTCTCGGAGGACTTTCAAAATTGGAGTGTATGGCCGTTCCAGGTGCTTAACTTGACGCATTTTAAAGTGATCCTCGCTTCTAAGGGAACTAGGATCACTCAGAAATGTGTCAGATTATGTTTTTAAATTGGAGCTTCATTTTTCTTCATGATTGTGGATTCTACTCTCTACTAGACATGTGCATTCGGATGTACCGGCAAATCAACGGAATTCAGTTGATTCAGTAGTTTGTCCGAATCCGGAAAAAACTAATTTATTATATGCCCGAATATACTAAAACTATATTCGCGCATACATAAATGTGTTTTCAGAACTGCCGCTCGTACTACAGTTTCAGTGTGCGGTTTCGGAGGCTCATTGCCTCCGAATCCGAAACAACATAAACATGTGTTTCCTTTGATGAAACGAATAAAAATGTATTTCGTTTTCATTTGCTTCGTCCGAAAATGAATTTATTTGCCGTGCACATATCTACTCTCTATTCAGTTGCGCAGGCATTATTTTATCAAGTCCTATTGCCCTCATCTTTAACCCACACAACTATCTGATCTGGTAAATCTTTCCATACAAGTGTGATACACGGATATACCTAGATGTACTTCCATCCTATTCAACAGTATTACTATCTGTACACAGCACACTAGCAGTCTGCACAGAGGTGAACTCGCCCCAACATTTCTGCTTTATCAGCTTGTATGCTGTGATTGCACTTAGGTGTTCTCTCAGTTAAGTGAGAAGGGGAGCAATAATCATCTTGGATTCTTTCACTTTGTTATTTTAGCTCCCTAGACAAAATGAGCACTTAACCCTTGCAGTAGCCCCACTGCAAGGGTTACGATTTCATTTGTCTGGATTTCTGCTTTAAGACTGGATCTACGGATATACCTAGAGGAGCCCTTGTGCCATGTTTGTGTTTCCAGTGTTTTTAAACCCCTTTGTGGGATTGTGGCTGCCCAGAAGATATATTGCTGTGAACCAGAGGCGCAACTAGGAACCCCAGGGCCCTGGTGCAAAAAACCATGAAGGTCCCCCCACTCCACCCCCCATAAAAAATTTTTGGTGCCTTGGCAGTTAAACATGGACAAGCAGGCTGCATACAAGTATATGCTGTATAGCAGCTGAAATAACTTGTACAAAGCGGCTTCTCTGCTTTACATTTAGCCCTGCTTCAGCAGTAAATGTAGAAAAAAAATCCCGGTCCCTTTAGACCGCCCCCCCCCCAAGTGGTGGAACATCAGGGCCCAGTTGCAAGTGCACCCGCTGTGACCCTGGTAGTTCTGCCAGCGCTGTGAACTAAGAACCTATGACTGACCAACCCGTGCTTCCCTTGTTTTTACAGGAGTTTTGGTTTTGTCTGTAGTTTAGCAAACAACTGGGCATGGCTGACCCTGTGGGGTCTATTTATAGACAATTCACAATGCACAATTCTGTAAACATTTAGTCTGTGCGAATATATGCCAAAACAAATGTTCTGTAATTTTTTTTCTTTACAAATGGAATACATTTTTGAATGTTTTTCTGTAATGTCACATTGTGTCCACTAGCTGGAGCTAAAAGCATATACTAAATATGTATTTATTTTCTTTGCTCCTCATCGCCATCAAGTGGCCATAAGACAATATTACATAAAAAAATAAAAACGAAAATACATTCCCTTGTAAAGAAACAACTAAAGAACATTCATTTTGGCATATATCCGCACAGAATGAAGGTTCACAGATATTTGTAGGGCTGTTAGTTTATAAAAAAACCCCTATGTTTTGTAATGTACACCCACAAAAGGAAATGTTTCTGTACTTCCAGGGTCTTTTAAAAGGGATGAAACATGGAGAAATGTGCATGTATTGCAGATATGTACTACATCGTTTATTTTTTTCTACTTTTGGCTTGAAGTGTATTTAAAGGCAAACTTTTTTTTTTTAGTTTCAGATACAGTATGGAAGAAATAATACTCCTATCAAATATTTTTTTTTTCTGTCTGTCCCCTATTGAAGAGATTTTCTTTCACTTCCTTTCCTGTAGACCTGAAAGGAAATTAAAGGAAATCTCTCCAAGTGAACCCTGATGCAAATAAGACCCCCAGCCTGCAGACCCCCACAACCACTGGTTAGGGTATTGGGGAAGAGGCCCTTGCCCCCATGGGGACACCCTCCCAATGCCGAGGGCACGTGGCCTAGCATGGCGGGGGGGCACTCAATTGTGTGTCCCCCCTTTCCTGCCTTGCCGGGCCTGTGCTTGGATCAAGGGTCTGGTTGGAGTTTTAGGGGGGTTCCACGGTTTCTTTTACAATTTTTGGGGGGTGGGGTTCCCCCTTATAATTCCCACCAGACCTAAAGGGTAGGTGACATCGCTCTAAAAGCTTAATCTCAGCGCACTCTGAAAACGGCACTTAGAAAAAAAGGCACCAGAATAAAAGCATTAGCAACTATTCCTCATAACGACTGCAAGTAAATCTCTTTCCTACAACTTGCTTTCCTTCTCCTATTCTGCTTCTATATCCCTCCTCTCTTTAACAAGCTTTCTCCTCCTCTCCTTCTCACAGTACATCAACATCTGTTCATCCTGAACCCACATGCTGGCAGAGCCTCAAGGACTACCCCCGCTCCTGTCCTTTCCCTATTTCTGCACCCATCAACTTCTGTTTATCCTAAACCCACATTTAGGGCAAAGCCTCCAAACCTTAGAGCAGGGGTAACCAAACTCCGGCCCTCCAGCTGTGGTGAAACTACAAATCCCATGATGCATCTCTGTCCAGGAGTCATGTCTGTGGCTGTGAGTATCTTGCAATGCCTCATGGGATTTGTAGTTCCACCACAGCTGG